GTGTGTGTGTGTGGAAGTGTAGAGTGAGTGTGGTTTTTTGTTTTGTTTTTTTTGTGGATGGGGTGGGGTGTTATGTTTGTGGGGTTGATTTGGGGGTTGTTTGTTTTATGTGTTTTTGGTTTTGTTTGATGGTGTATATTTTTTGTTGTATGTGGGTGATTTTTTTGGATATTTTTTGTTGGGTGGGTGTTTTTTTTGTATTTTTTTTGTGGTTATTGGGGTATATAGTTTATTTTTTTGAGGATAGTGATTTTTGTAGTGGTAGGGAAATATGGATATTTGTTTTTTTGGGGGTTGAGTTGGTTGTGAATTGGGTTTGAGATGTTATGAGTTGGGTTGGGGAAGTAGATTGTTGATGATTTGTGTTTTGTATTTTTGTTAGTTTTGGTAGGATTGTTATTTTGGGGATTTTGTTATGTGGTTATTATTGTTGGTTTATTTTTTTTTTTAAGGGATTGGAAAAATTGGTAGGGGGGTTTGGTGTGAAGTGTATGTTGTTGTTTGATGTGGAATGTAGAGTTATAATTTGGTTGGGGTGGATTATTTGTTTGGTTGATGTTTGGAAAAGGTGTTTATATGAGTTTGTTATTTGAGGTTTGTTGTTGTATTAGGGGGGTTAGTTTTAATGTAATATTTGTTTGGGGTTGGTTTAGTATTTTAGAGTTTTTTTTTGGTTTGGTGTTTGGAATGTTTGTTTTTTTTGATGTATTATTTTAGTTTTGTTTTGTTGGGTGGTTTTTTTGTAGGGATGAAGAATTTGGGATAAATAGGGATTTTTTTTGAGTGGGGGGTGTATATTATTAAGTGTTTAGTGAGTTTGTATTTTTTATTATAAGATAGATAGAAAAAATATGGATATTTATAAATTTGTTATTTGTATGAGGGATAGTTATTTTTTAATATTTTGGAAATAATGATTTATGAGTGTGTGGTGTAATTGTTTAGAGGTTGGAAGAGAATGTTAGGTTAGGGTTGGTGTTTTTGTTGGTGTGTGATTATGGTAGTGATGGTTGGATTGATTATAGGTGGGGGGAGGGGGTTATTATGGTTGGATTGGTTGGATAGTTAATAGGGGGTTGGTTAGGGGGATGTGTAGTATGATAGTTTGGTTTTTTTGATTGGATAGAGAGGGTAGAATAGGAGAGTTTTATGATTAGAATATAGATGTTAATTTGTATTTATTGATTATTTGGGTTTGTTTTTGTATGTTATATGATTTATATTAGGATAGTGGTGGATGTTGGTTAGGGGATGGGGATGTATTTTGTAGGGTTGGATATTTATGAGGGTGGTTGTGAAGATAGGGGTATAAATAATATTTTAGGTTAGTGGGGACATAGATTGGTTGATAGAGATATATTATATTTTTTTTTTTGGGTTGTATTTTTTTGTGGGAAATTTGGGAAAGAAATGTTATGTTTGTGTTAATTTTATTGAGATGGTGGGAATGTTTTTTGTTGGGGGGAATGTTGTAAAGTTATGTTGAGTTTTAAGAAGATAGGGGGTTGTTGTTGGTGGAAGAAATGTTATGGTTTGGGGTGTGGGAATTTTGAGGTATTGGAGTAGATGAGAGATGTTTATGAGGTAAAGGTGATGTGGTGGTGTTTATGAGTAGGTATTTTTTGTTAATTTAGTTGGATTTGTTGTGATTTTTATTAGGTGTTTGTTGGTTGATATATTTTATTTATTATCTATCTATCTCTCTTGATGATTTGGTTGTAGTGTTGGGTATGTGAAGATAATGGTTTGTATGATTGGATTAAATTAATTGTATTTAATATATGGATTTAATAGTTTTGGGGTATTAATTTGAAAGTGGGGTGGGTTGGGGGAAAAATTTGGGGATTGTTAGTTTGTATTGGTGGTGGATGTGGAGATGGGGGGAATTTATTGATGGTATAAGAAAGTGGTAGATGGGTTGTGGAAGTTGAATGGAGTGGTGGATGATAATTTAATATATTTGATTATTTTATAGGGATGAGTGTTATTGAGTTTTTTGGTTGTTTATTTGGATGGAGGGATTTGTTGATTTGAGGGGTGTGGGTGTTGGGGTTGATTGGTGGGGTGGTTGTATATGGGATTATTAATTATTTAGTTTGAGTTATTGAAGATAAGAATGTGATTTTTAGTAAGGTGGGTTGGGGTTTGAAGGTTTTATTTTGGAGTATGAGTTATTGATGTGTGTGTATTTTGTGTTAAAAGATTGTTTATTAAGGGTATTGTGGGGATAATGGGGGAGATGGATAATATTGGATTTAGAGATAGGTTTAGTTTTATTAATAAGTTTTTAAGAATTATATTGATTATTGTAAGTTTATTTTTAATATAGTTTTGTTAAATTAGAGAAGGGGGGAGTTTTTGTTGGGATTTGTTGTGGATTAATAGGGAGGTTATTTTGAATGTTTTCAGGTTGGAATTTGAATGTTGGGGTAGAGGAGTGTGGGAGTTAATTTGAATAAAAGGATGTTTTGGTTTATTGTATGGTTTATTTGTTGAAATTTTGGATGTTTTATGGTTTTTATGAGTGGAAGAGGTGGATTTTGGAAGTTTAAAGTGCATGAGCGAGAGTAGTTTGTTGTTTGTAGGGGGGTATTGGAATATGATGAATTATTGAATATTTAATTTGTGGGAAAGGGGTTTTGGATATTGTTTTTTTTGGATATGATGGGGGTTGAATTGGGGTTTGTTTTTTTTTTTTTGATTGATGGGGTTAGAGAGAGAGATGAGAGAATGTGAGAGAATTAGTTAATATTAGATAAAAAGTAAATTGTGAATTTGTGATTTATTAGGGGTTTTTTTGTTATGTATTTTAGGGTTGTTCCTTGTTTTGTCGTTAATGATTTGAGAATCATAACGAGACCTTTTTTAGTCCTGCTGCCACATGGTACTTTGCCAGTGAGATTAGCTTTGCGCAGTGAGTTCTGGCGCCCGGATCATGGACTTTCTGATTGGTAAAACGATGGAGGGCGGGACATAAAAATGAAAACAATAACTAGGGGCTGTGAAACTAATTTTGAAATTCTAATATCTGAACTACAGTTATCAGTTAAAGAAGTATTGGAAAGATCATGGTTTATTAATATTGCTTTTGACAGATTAGGGCCCTTTAATGATGACTTAACATTATAATCTTACTCCTACTTTAAATTATGCTAGACTTCATCAATTACACACTAAAACTCAGCCACGCAGATCTGACAGAGGGTGGGATCGGGCCCTGCTTTATACCCCACCAGTGTCCACTCCAGTTTGTTGTCCAAATCCTTGCAATTGAAGGTGAAACTTACTGTGACTCTGCAGCTGTAAGTGCTGGAGCAAAGTAATGATGAGTAATACGTGTCTGAACTTTCATTCTGCTGCTGAGAGGCCGCTGAGTGCTAATCATGGGGAAATGTGAATGAAGCATGCAGGCGCCGGAGACAAGAACAAGAGCTGTATTAATATTGTCATTTTTCACATGACTAGACTAGCAGCCTCAGACTAATGGCTTTTTCAAATACAAAAATGATTGACTGCGCACAAAACGAGTTGGGGTAATTCCCACAGAAGTTACATAAAGGTATTTATGAACAATAACAATATTTAATCCCATACAGAAGAACGTTTCAGACAAAGCATCGGCGTCTTCTGACATCTCCATTGTGCAAACTGAAGATTTTATATATATGGATACATAATTATATCTACAGTCTAACACCTTTCCACCAACACTTAATAACTTATTTGGCTCCCAGAACATGCACGTCAAAGCTTCACTTAAAAACTCTATGTCATAAGTCACTGATAAAAAAATACTCAATACCGATTTTGATACTAATTTATTAAATGCCGTTATGTTTGTACTATTTTCTTTACCGATATATTATTATATTTGTCAAGACATGTCCATTTTTGTCTCAATTATGTCATTATTTTCTAGAATCAATACTTGTTCAAAATAATACCTTGATTTTTTACTAGTTTTAGTTCTCAATGTTACTTTTCACATCTTGATTAGTGTCACTATAAACATATTTAGTTTTTTGAAAGTCTCATTGGAATCAAGAACCTGTTTTTCAAAGGACAAGAGGCAGTAAATATGGAAATGAGAAGCAGCCATCTACCACCGGACCCACCAACTGCCGGAGGATCAGCGAGGGACTGATGCTAATAAAGGGGTAGAAAATGAGTGAAAGCAATGAATGAATGAATGAGGAAATTGCCCTGTGCCGTTTGGAGAACAGACAAAATGGCTGGACTCTGGGATGCTGAGGGTCTGTAGTTTTGGCCTGAAATGTAGGAACAGTTGGTAATTATACATACTGCTATAGCTGCTGTCTGGGGGTAAGCTCTCAACTATTAGGTTTGAACATATGTCGTTCCACACAAAAAAAAGAAAATAAAGAACAATCAGATTGAAGGACCAGGTAGAATACATGTCAAATCCATATTATTATTTATATTCATTTTTTTTGGAATATATTCTTTTGTGATTTTGGAGTTAAAACTGTTTTTTTAATTGTTTTTTTTTTACTTTAAATGTGAGAGATTTATTCACATTTATAGTATTTCTATTGGCTGAGAAAATGTTTTAGAAAACTCCAGTTGTCCCAGTCCTAGTCAGTGCATTTTTCATGATTAAAATCACAGTAATAATTAGATAATCGTGGTAGTACAAACGCCGGGTTGAAGTTGCTGTATTTTTAAAATGCTGTATAGCTCCATCTAGTGGCTACAAACAGGAACAACACGCATGGAATAATAACAACGTGTCGTCATCACTGTGCGCCTTCCTTCCTCGTCGCGGAAACATGTGAAAAAAACATGCTGAAAAATAGTTCTTCTGGCATTTAACTATTTCAATTTCTATTTTACTTGAATATTAGGACCCTACATTTGCGCCGGTGTATACAAATTGTTGAGTACATGCGTTTGGATTAGCATAGCGACATTAGCCACGCGTAGAAGGACACCATTGTGACTGGTTTTGTGGACTTTTGACAGTAAATTATTTTCTGATCATGGACAACACATCAGAAAATGAGATCCAGCTTCACGGAGACGAAGAAATTATTGAAGTGATAGATCTGGATGAGTCGGAGCCTGGTCCTGGTGAGAGATGCACGTAAACATGTATGTATTTATACTTGTAATAACTCATGGATTGTTCCATCAGAGGATCTGGCGGATGTGCTGGACGATGTAGACATTGAGGAAGACGCGGGGAACGCGGAGGATGAAGGCTGGGAGACTGAGGACGAGATGGAGGCGGACCAGGATGACAGCGAGTTCACCTTTTCCAGTCATAAAGGTCTTTTTAAAACCCTTTAGGACCCAGCAGTAGAATGAATGACACTTTCTATACAACGACCTGGCTTCCTTCAAATGTTTCCCTTTAAATTCCTTCCTTTAGTAGTCCCTGTTTTGGTTGTATTGTGGAATGACACCTGTTTTAAATATGACTTGTAGTTTTACATTAAAAAAGGTTCAATGTGTCAAAACAATTAAAGTAAAAATGCAGCTGGTTAAAATATTGTAATATATGTTGTGGACCAATGACAACAAGTTTGTGAGAGTCATCCTAAAGTTTGGCATCATGTACATAACATATTCCTGGCCCTTTTCTCAACAAAATAGAAGTATTCCTCCATTGATTTAAATATATGTATAAAATTATGTCGTATAATATTTTCTAATCCTGAATAACCTTTTGGCCCAGTGTAAAACATGGCGTGTGATGTTATGATGTGCAATCCAGAACTAAATACTACTTATGTAAAAAGTAAAAATCTCTTTAATTTCCCGCTCTAAGGGTCTGTATTTTGCGTGAGCTTGGACCCCGTCACTAACACCCTGGCTGTGACGGGCGGAGAAGATGACAAGGCCTATGTTTGGAGACTGAGTGATGGAGAGGTCCTGTTTGAATGCACAGGTGAGTCCTTTTCCACTCTATATAGTCTCTACTTTTCACCTCCTTTAGCTCAGTCTGTGCTGTGTGGAGGAATCTCAAGGCAACCGCAACAACTAGACTAATAAGTGAACCTGAATGTTTCTGATTGTCTCACAGGTCATAAAGACTCGGTGACCTGCGCCCTCTTCAGCCACGACTCGTCTCTGGTCGCCACGGGAGACATGAGTGGGATGATCAAAGTCTGGAAAGTGGAAAACAAAGAGGAGATCTGGTCATTTGAAGTCGGGGATCTGGAGGTATACGTCTACTTTAATTCATACACATTTTAGATAATTGTCTTGCCGTTTTTGAGTAGCTTTAAGGCATGCTTCTTTCTATCCTCCTCACACGTTCAATATCCTTTTTACCATCGTGTGATAAATTCATTGCATATTTCAGGCTGTATTTGAAATAACATATCAACACTGACGGGAGAAAGAGCACGTGCTTAATGCAACTCGCCTTTAACTGCGACAATATACGTCACAGATTGTTTTGAACTTTAGAATCTATAGAATCCAGTTGCTTTACACTGCAAAAAATGATCAAATATGAGGTAATAATTGAATCGAGTGATTATTATCTTCATTTGAGCACATTCTGACTGGCTTAAAACCAGATATTCTTATGGGACAAAGCTGTTTAGTCCTTTTTCAAGAACTCTAGTTGTATTTTCTCATTCCATGGGAGACATTTCTTGTATCTTTAAAAACAAGAAAATTTTGCTTTGTCCTATTTGCAAATCTTGTTTAAAGGCAGTCAAAATGTGCTCAAATTAAGTTCCATCACTTTTTGCAGTGTAGCTTAAATGTAGCCAGTGAAAAGTAGGAAATATTCATTCAGCTCTGCCAAATAAGAATCAAAATGCACGTCCAAAACCGTATTTTAAATCCCAGAGCAATGCAAAAGGACTGGCTTTAGATCGACACGGATCTAAAACATAAAGTATGAATATGACGTTAGTTACTGGACCAGCTCAAACTTAGACGCCGCTCTTATTCTGCAAGCTGAATGCGTCGTGCAGTGATTTCTCTATAGAATACTTAACCTTTGCCCATGGATTGACAGTTTAAGATAAATGTATGTTTTCTGAGGAGTTGAGAAAGATGCAGAGTAAGGCCCTGTTTATACTGAGACGCTGCGCAGACGTTTCCAGGCTATTAACAGAAACGACCTGGCTCCTAATGCAAATTTCTCAGCGTTCACATGAGGTTGAAAAACAATGTAGTTCTAGCGCCCGGCCAGTAGTGGGCAGAGAAACTTTACAACACTCACACGACCCCGAGCCCCGTGCCCAGCCCCCCAGTGTACTCACTTCCTGTGCCAGACCCTCAGAACGCACCAACATCATTCTGCCTTTTAACAGCAGCTGGGAAAATGGAAACTGAACCTAGAGCTTCGCGTGGTCTCGTTTGGACGAACGAAGGAGTAGAATTATCCTCTGTGCAGCGCTGGAAGCCCACGTAGCTAGTTTGTGTGGGCGGCGCCATTATTGTTTATGTTTGTTCTCCGCTACTGCGCATGTCCAAATTTACGTGCGGGGAGCAGCGCTGAGGTGGGGGTCAGAGCAGAGGGGGATTTCACACCTTTTTCCCTCTTGCGGGTGTGAAAAAGCTCCCTGCTGTGCAGCGTTTCTGAGTTGTCCCACTCTGCAGGCTGGATCTGAACACTTACGTTTTCACCCCCCTGGAACACAGTCTTCGTATGAACGGTTGGTAGCAACCGACATCCAACTATACCGTTTTACTGCCACGGTGTCCGTGTAAACTCAGCCTAAGAAGTGTAGCCATGGCACATTAAAACCAAACCACCCCCACCAAAACCATGTCCATCTTTACTAAAAATACCACATTTGTTTACACTGGCGTCGGCGAGTGTTTATTGTCCATGTTATAGTGTTTGGAGCCCGTACATCTGAAAGCACTTGACATTTTTTTTTATTAGGGCTGAAAGAATTTATGAGGAAATGAAGGATGACCACTGAGGATTGTGGGGGGTCTCTCTTTTTTCGCGACCACACAGGTTTTTTTTCCTCTGACCCACAATCGCCACATCCTCACTGCCGGTCGAGCGTACAGCAGGGTCGTGAAATGAGCGGCGTGGTTGTAAGTGTGTGTTAATTGGCTGGTCCCCCCCCCCCCTCCCCCTCCTCTCTCTCTCAGTGGTTGGAGTGGCACCCAGCCGCCCCGGTGCTGCTGGCGGGCACAGACGACGGGAATGTGTGGATGTGGAAGGTCCCGGCGGGAGACTGTAAAACCTTCCAGAGTGCGGCGTGCCAGGCCACCAGCGGCAAAGTGCTTCCTGATGGTGAGACGCGAGGAAAGGTGCTAGCACGTCACCCGCGTTGTCGAGAGCGTGCCACTTATATACGTTCACGGTTTACGGTAAAAGTGGCATTTAAACCACAAGAAAGTAACTCAATTCAATCTGCTTTTGTATTCTTGGGTTTCATATGACATCAGGGCAGTGGCACGAATTACAAACGTAGGACAGGACGTGACGTATGCCCAAAATCAAGACTCTTTAGAGAAATATCTTTTAGTACTCCCTTAGAATTGAGTGTCCCCGATTAAGACAGACAACAACCGTACACCGCACAGGAGGAGAGCCTTTTGACTCCAAAACAGACTTTACATGGTTTTCAATGGGAGCAAAACTGAGTTGTCCCACCTCTTCTCATACGCCCCCTACTGGCCAGTTTAATGAATCCCAAGAATAGCCCTAAATCACAACAGTAGTTATCTCAGAGGACAATACAAAGCTGTCGATTCGCCAACACAGATCAGAGAATCAAACAATCATTGAACTAGTTTTTGCTCTAAAAACAGTCCGGTTCTACCATTCGTGTTCCCGCATGTATTTTTAGCCTCTGTCGCATCTTTAGATCAGATTTTTCAGACAGAAAAGTGTAAAAATAAGAAGTGACAGGACTTTACTGGACTCTTTCTGTGCGGAAAATGAGTTGCCCCTGGTTTAAACAATACATGATTACAACACAGTAGATAACCGTGAGTGCTTAAATCAATGGTTTGAAGCTATTTTTTTCTGCACTAATCGTTCAGAATATTTATCTCGTGTCTTCCTCAGGTAAACGAGCGGTGGTGGGATATGAAGATGGGAGCGTCCGTGTCTGGGATTTAAAACAAGGGAACACAGCCCACGTCATCAAAGGTCTGCTTTTGTTTTGATTCGATGATTAATGCAACGGTGCAATCATGGTTTTGGTTTTCTATAACTGAACGGGGACCTCGCTGTTCAAGAGAATCTCCAACTTCGATCTGCCTCTTTCTGTTTCTCTCATCCATTTACCGTGTGCTGCCTGCAGGTCAGGACGGACACCAGGGGGCGCTCACCTGCTTGGCCTGCAACAGCGACGGCTCTCTGGTGCTGACCGGCTCGGTGGACGGTGCCGCTAAACTCATCAACACCACCACAGGGAAGGTGAGTCCTGTAACCACGACGACGCAACATCGCCGAGAGGAGGGATTCGAACCCACGTGTTTAAAGGAGGACGTCTCTCTGTGCACAGGTGCTGAGCGTGTTCTCTGTGAACGCACCGGGAAAAGGATCCAAAGTCGGAGAGGAGGAGACCAACTCTGTGGAGTCCGTGGGGTTTTGTAACATGTACGTCACAGATTTTTATAACTGATTATACATTTGACCAAAACGAAACTCCAGCGATGGCCCTGGGCAGCACGTTACACATCGGGTTGTTTGATTGTTGATTGTAAATACTGTGCAAACATTTTTCCAATGAGCTGTCATTATAGAATCGTCTAGAACAGCCATTCCCAAACTCAGTAACACCGAGGCCCCCTTAAAAATCTAACGGGTCTGCGTGGCCCCCCAAAATAATAACCAAGAAGACAACATTAAGAATAGGCTCTTCTGGTTATTTTATTTTGGGGAAATAGCCTCTGCTACAAACATTGTAATACAAAAATGATTACAGTGGATTATTCAAGTCAAATAATGAACACAAATATTTTAATATTACAAACAAAACATTATAAATTTAACATTAAATCATTATATTATTTTTTAATTTTTTTATGACCTCCCGCGGCCCCCCTGCAGTACCCTCGCGGCCCACCAGGGGGCCGCGGACCCCACTTTGGGAGACACTGGTCTAGAAGGTTAAAGAATGATTAATAAATGAGTTACTATTTCATCCGTTTAATAGTTCAGATTATTGGAATAAGTTGCCTTTTAACTAATGTAGATCAACAATGCCATATGAAATTTTTCTTAGTGGTAATTTGAATACAGTTTTTCTTTACACAATTAATGTATTTCCTTAGTCATTAGTGAACAACAAGAGCAATGTCATACACACAAGAACAATTTCATATCCAGAAAGACATGAGATATGACGTTCCGGAAAAATCTTCTTGACTTTTCTAAACTAGGATCAACACATTCTAAACTGTAGCTATCGTTAAACCGGACTTTTGAGATCAGCACTTTTCCTGTGTGTGTGTGTGTGTGTGTGTGTGTGTGTGTGTGTGCGTGGTTGTGATGCATCATAACAACGAGGCGTGTTATTTATTGAGGGTAACGTTGTCTTCGTTTGACCCCAGCCTGCCGCTCGTTGCCGTGGCCTACCTGGACGGGACCCTGGCCATCTTCGACCTCTCCACACAGGTCCTGAGGCACCGCTGCCAGGACGAGGTGAGCTCTGGGTCCAAATACAAACATCTGATGGCACGTTTACAGCTGTGCTCAGTGCCGTGTCCTGCCCCCCCCTGCTCCCTCCTCCCTCCTCCCTCTTCCTCCTCCTCCTCCTCCTCCTCTTCCTCCAGGCTGGGATCGTTCACCTGCAGTGGGAGCAGTCCTCGTCCGTCGTCGCCACCTGCAGTCTGGACGGAGCACTGCGGCTGTGGGACGGACGCACTGGGAACATGGTGTCGGAGTACAGGGGCCACACGGCAGAGATCCTGGACTTCACCATCAACAGGTGAACTTTCAGCATCCACCGTGACCAGACTGACAGACAGATACTTTATTGATCCCCGTCGGAGAAATTCAGGTGTCCAGTAGCAGCAAAAATAAAATTGATCATTCTTAAAAGCTAAAATAGTATTAATTAGCCACAGGCCTTAGGTCACAGCAGCAGATGTGGAGTGGCCTCTGGGTGGGGCAGGACGGGTCACAGCAGCAGAGGTGGAGTAGGCTCTGGGTGGAGCAGGACGGGTCACAGCAGCAGAGGTGGAGTGGTCTCTGGGTGGAGCAGGACGGGTCACAGCAGCAGAGGTGGAGTAGGCTCTGGGTGGAGCAGGACGGGTCACAGCAGCAGAGGTGGAGTAGGCTCTGGGTGGGCAGAGGTGGAGTAGGCTCTGGGTGGAGCAGGACGGGTCACAGCAGCAGAGGTGGAGTAGCCTCTGGGTGGAGCAGGACGGGTCACAAGGTGGAGTAGCTGCTTGGTTTGGACCATTTTCTCTGCTCTAGTCCAAAGTAAAATACTAATTTCAAAAAGTTAGCATTTCTCCAGTGGATTTTCACCTGATCCACTTGGTTTGGACCATGAATCCTCTCTGCTCTGGTCTGGACCAGTGTAAAACCATGAACACTGTACTGCAGCAACATCTCAGGTAGAGAAAAAGCAATGAAAATAAAGATTATAAAGCACTAAACAACAACAGTTTCAGAGCTACTTAGGACTTACGACGAGGGAGACGGAAGAGGACTGTAGCTTTTTAATTCAATTCAATTCAATGTATTCTTGTAAAGTAATCTCTGGAAGACTTTACAAAACCGGTTAAGTCGCCAACGCAGATCAGAGAATGAATCAGTTCAAACACAAGAAATGCACTGATGAAAAACAGGAGTGTCCTGGATCAGCATTTTAATAATCATCATCGTTGCAATTAATTCCCCAGATTCAGCAGAAAAAATAAATGTTAATAATAATTGTGTTTGAACAGATTTATTGAACATACAATTTTAACTTTTTATCCCAAAATCATTTCCTTATATTTTTCTTACATATTTTTTTTGTATTTTATTCTGTTATTGATTAGTGGTCTTCTGTCTTTTACATCTGTGACATCTGTTTCACATAAAGTTTTAATCCATATCGTACGTAATAAGTTTCATGTTGACGACGTTAGAGTACGTTTTAGAAACCGCCACGACAAAACCATTGAAGTTTTACGATTGAATGAAAAAACCTCCCTTTTGTCCACGTTTCGTTTTGCAGCGAGGGAACTATGGCTGTGACGGCTTCGGGAGATAACCAGGCCAAAGTGTTCTGCCTGCAGAGACCGGATCGGTAACCCGTGAAGCAGAAGATAAAAACACACCATGATTCAAGGAACTCTCAAATAACAACCAAGAGGAGAAATCTCTTCCTTTTTAAATAGAAAGTGTCCTCCTGTGGCCTGCTTTAGTCCCATCGTAGCACTCAGAGACTAAAGGAGGAGACTGTAAACACATTCAGGCGTGATGAGTTCAAGGTCCTCTCGTGAAAATAGGTAAACCCTGATGCTTCCATTGATTGCACTGTAAAAAAGGCAAAATGTGTCTTAATTTGAGCACATTCTGACTGCGCCTTAAAACGAGATTCGCCAATGGGACCAAAGCAAAATGAAATTGTTTGCTTGAAATTGGAATGAGAAAATAAAGCAGCAGTTCTTGAAATATAGATGAAATGGCTTTGTCCCATTGGTGAATATTGTTTAACACAGTCAGAATGTGCTCAAACTAAGATAAAAACCACTCTTTTCAAGCAATTTATTACCTCATAATTGATCATTTTTTGCAGTGTGGGTTTGATTTATCCCTCGTGTAAATACAGAACGAATATACTTTAATTATTCTCCTCTGTTATCGTGTTTCCGCTTCACTCCCGTCTGGATTTAAAAATAAAAGTCCCTCGGTGGTCTGTTTTGTTTTTGTTTTTTCTCATGATGATATCTGGGAACTGAGATTTCAATATTCAAGTGCTTTTTTTTTAATATTTAGACTATGTTTAGAAGATGTTATCAGATCGAAACCAGTTGAAGTGGTGAGTCAGGAGGAGCTAATGCTGCACATCTGTCTTGGAAATGCTTTTAAGATCGCTCCATTCGTAAACAAGAGTCGTACTTATACACGATTCTTTTGATATGAGAGGATTTGACTGTGACGCAATCGACCGGATGCGTAGAGGAGTCGCCATGACAACTGTGTGTGTAATTATGACGGCAAAGGTTAGTGCAATGGCGTTTATATGAAAAGCTTTTTAAGGTCTCTGCGTCATTCCCGGTGGTGAATGACACACGCTTAAACGAAGGCTGGAGATTCTGGAGTCACTTATCAAGAACGAGAGCCAAGTTTAGGCATCACCGACTGGCATTTTTGATTTACAACCGCCATCCCCCGGCCTTCATCCTGTGCGTGAGTGCGTCTTCCTGAGCCCGACGTTCCCAGGGTGCGTCGTCGGTGGAGCTAACCCACTTGGAAAATGTCCGTGGATGAAGTCATTCACAAAACGACGCTGAAAACGGCTTGAAAAATAACTCAATATTTGAATTATTGTGACGGACCTTATTTGTTTGAGCTATATTTGGAACTCAAAAGGTGGCGGTCATGTATGGATCAGATTTTTTGTGTCATCAGATTTTGAATTTTAAATAAAAAATATGAAATTGATAATCAGTGACTGAAATTTGCAGACAAAAAAATTCAAGATGTTAAAAAAATTCAAGTAGATGAATTCAGGTCCATATAAAATTCAATTTCTGATGGAACAAATATTTTTTAGCTTCATTGAAGAAAAAAAAATTATGTGTTGAAGGTGAATTTGTCATTTTGAAATTTTAATCACATTGACATTTGTAAACTGAATTTTTAGAGACTGAAATGCGACAACAACAAAAAGTCAAATGGAAAAATTCAAGCTCATTTAAAATTCAACATCTGATGAAAAGTAAAATGTCTGAATAATGTTTTTCCTGATGAAAGAGTTATATGTATGTTCATTCACAAAAGCACCATATTGTTCCCATGTCTAACTAACTTCATGAGTGTGTTTTTTAAAGATTGTTGCCACTTCTAGACTCCTCTATGAGAAAATGAGTTGACTACAGTTCATTTGTGCTGACAAACAAGACGTGGATCTTTGGGCTGGGCTGGAACCACTGTCGAGGTGGTACGAAAGAAGTACCCAAAACCTGGCCCCGACCCTGGTGGAAATGCAAAAGTACCGCTCCGTGCCGCGCCGAACCATGCCGTACTGTACCGCTACTGTGGGAAAGCGGCATTTTTGTTTCATGTGAATTGACTCAGGGATTACAGAGAAATGAACAATTAACTCATTTTATTCTTAAAAGTATGCAGCAGGATTTTCCCAAATTTTAAGTATTAATAATAATAATAATACAACAAACTTACATAGCGCTTTTTTGGACACTCAAAGACGCTTAAATTGTGGCAAAGGACAGCTAAAACAAAAAAATAATTCCTGGTAACTATGGTAACTGTCTTCTAGTCAATTTGAAAATTCCCAGAGTTCCACATGGTAATATTAATCCCGTGCCAATAGGGCTTAAGACTGTAAGACAGACATTTGCCAGTTACCATAGTTACCAGGAGCACATTTTCGCACATTTTAGGAAAGAACCATGTATCGCTCCCTCTCACTTTTTGAACAAAACTCTGGTCTTATTGGACGAGCCCGTATCACCAGAATGATTGACAACTGGGAGGACCAATAGTCTTGCTGATCCACCCGGAAGTAGAAAATCCTCCAATATATCTCATTAATAGGATATTTCATAGACATTTTTTCTTGAGATAATATTTCAACTTTATTCCCAAATATTGCAGGGTACAACGAAAGAATCGAAAGAAAATAAACATAATATTTTTGCATTGTTGTAAAAGCAATCTGTGGATTCTACTCTAATGGGTTTATTTAAATTATTACGCATTTTTTACAATAACTCATATCAATTATTGTGACAACCTAATGTTATCAGTTGTTTTGGTGTAGAAAATGCCGATATGGACGAGTCTCAAAGTCTCCAAATACCTATAGTCACGTGACGAAGGACGCATGGTTATAAACAATAATCTGATAAACTCAAGAGAAAAGAGGTGGACACAAAATCTACAGGATGAAGGACAGGAAAGCACTGGAGTACATCGTTACAGATTTAATTACCGTAAGTACAGACTGTCCCTAATGATGCGGGAGAAAGAGCAGCACCTGCACCGTCATGAATCCAGTATTAAAGCCGGGGTACCTCACTTTGAAACCTTAACAAATGTAACCAAACAAAACCTGTTCCTCGCCGTCAAAACCGTTTGATGGTGTATTGTCTGACTGGTTCTCAAGATTTTACTTTCATTGACCTTTTCTGTTTGAACTAAGTTATTATTATGTATGAAAAACAGAGAAGTTAGATTCAAGATTTAGATTAAGAGGGAAATTTCCTAATAAAGAAGTATACAATCTCCAGCTTTAGCATAATAATAATGCATCGGTTTTATATAGCGCTTTTTTGGACACTCAAAGACGCTTCACATGTGTCATTATTCATTCACTCCAAACACGGTGGTGATAAACTACTAATGTAGCCACAGCTGCCCTGGGGCACACTGACAGAAGCGAGGCAACCAGTATGTGCCATCGGCCCCTCCGACCACCACCAACCATTCATACACACACCAGACTCATTCTAGGCAATGGGGGTGAAGTGTCTTGCCTAAGGACACAACGACAGTTTGGCACTTTACAGCCGCAGCCGCCCCACTGTGGCTGGTGTTCCCAGAGGTTAAGTGTCTTGCACAACGACAGTAGTCAGTGGGAGTGATGGTGAAAGTCTTGAGCGGTGCTTGAACCCACGACCTTCTAGCTCAAAGGCCAACGCTCTACCAACTGAGCTACTGCCGCTTTAATAAAGAAGCAAGTATCTCTAGCTTTAGCATAATAAAGAATCTAGTAAAATATATAACTTTAGCATAATAAAGAGACAAGTTTATATTTTTTTAGCTTTGGCATAATTAAGAATCAAATATAAAATCTATCCTGTTTGCATTATAAAGAATCTAGTATAAAATCTCTGGCTGGAGCATAATAAAGAAGCAAGTATACATGGTTTTCCATCACGTGCTTATTACCCATGATGCTTCGCGCGAACGCCATATTGCGTGTCAAGCTTATATTGCACCTAAAGGCCACGAATTCGGCCGACGCGTTAAGTATATTGATACACTGGAGTAATCCGTGAGGCAAGATCCTCCGAGAAATTGAGAGTGATCGGAGATTTGGATCTGTATGAAACGCGGCGAGACCAGTGGACTTCCCAGAAATGGCTTACTTTCACTTAACGGTTTTACAGTTAAAAAAAGGTCATGATGTGTATGATACAATATTTCTTTCAATCAATTTATTTGGAATGAAGCAGTTGATATCACAGGCCGTAAATCACTTCTGTCTACCACCCTTTCTCCTCCTCCTCCCCCTCCCATTTATTTAGATGGGACGCTCGAGGTGCCTATATAGACTTACCACAGTCAAATCGCAGCTCTGGATATAAACCACACATGCACAGATTTAGCTCTTACCTGTTATGAAATGGTCAGAACAGACCTTATAGTGCCGTTCTTCAGGGGGTTAGGGTTGAATCCCTCTCGGTTGATCCTCGCCAACTAAAGGGTTCTTTTCTACGGCGAGAGTTGCTCCCCTGGCCCGTAATAACCTTCGGAATGTCCCCACAATCTGCACGTTTACTGCACCCCCAAACGACGCAGGCAGTCGGTATGTTTTAGCGCAAAAAAAGTGATATGCTGCGCTTTGTTTACCTACAACTAGCAGCGGCTTGACTTGTAAAATGGCGAACTGCGGAATTGTGGGTAGTGCTTCTTAAACTATGTATAAAGAAGCAAGCATACTATATGAAAGACTAACACTAGTGATGTCATTCAGAAGCTAGTTTTGGGTCTTGTGGTGATCTTCCAGGAACCATCTTTTGAAGTGTGTGTTGTGGCGTCCTGTCCAGATTGTGGGCCCTGGTCAGTGTCTGTCTGTGTGAGGAACGCTGTGTTTAAAGCCATTATCTGACGGGAGCTCGTCCATCTGAGACACCTGGTCCCAGTCTCCCCTGTTTACCAGGCCTCTCCATCCGTCGCACTGTTTAAAGAGGAGGGCCAGGCTGACAGATGTTTTAAATCCATCTCTACGCATTGTTGAACGTACACGCTCCAGTCCGGGCCTGGACCCTGAACCACAGACGTGTAATTCAGACAAGCTCTCAAAATGTGTCTTTCACTCTGAGGTAAAGTTGCACTGCGTAACTTTCTTTAAATAACAGGTGGATTTATCACTCAAAAATTAAAAAAAAAAAAAATTAAATGCAGGAGAAAGTCTGGATATTATTGGCAATTATCTTATTTCGGGGGCGACAGTGGTTCAGTTGGTGGAGCATTGGTCTCTACCACGGCCCTGCTCCCACTGATGTCTGCTGTTGTTGTGTCACTGGGCAAGACACTTAACCCCACTTTGCCTGAGGCCCCCGCTGAAAGACCAAGGCCGTATCTGCATTGAAGGAACAGCCATCTTCCTGTGGACCCACCAACTGCAGGAGGATCAGCGAGGGACTGGTGCTGTGTGAATTGGGTGGCAGCTCTGATTGCCACCCCGCTGACCCAGAAATAAAGGGGTGAAAATGAATTAATTGATATCTTATTTCCACACATTAGATTCTGAGTCTAAATGTCACTACCATTGGTCTGCTCTCCTGGCTTCTAACCTGTTCTCTAGACCCATTACTTCTAAACTCAGAGAAACTAAAACATCATTCAAAAAGTGTCTTTATATGTCGTCTGTATCTGTTATAGACTCATTTGTTTTGTTTTATTACAAGCTCAACATGACACATAAATGCTGGATATAAACATAATAAGTTTGACATTCAAGTAAACCGACTTTTGAACTATAATTTTACGAGTTTCATGGGTAGATGCATCCTGACCTGGTCTTGTCTCATAGAAATGAACGGATTTCAGACAAAGACAGTGGTATTTCCACAGAAACCAGCTGTAACGGTGGAAAGACCCTGCTCCAGGCTCGTCACAGTCGTTTTTATGCTATACTCGATCATTAACAACAGTCATTGTGCCCGTTAAAGCTGGGGTGCACAATGTTTGTTCGTAGATAATGGAGTCTTGTGAAGGTCAAATATTGTGTGAAATATTTTAAGTTAGACCAGGACAGGCTTTTTATATTGTGTAAGAAAGAGCCCTGACTTTTTAAGCTGCGTGCTGATTGGCTGATTGGCTGAAATTCCTCTTTGTCTCATTTTTCTGTCCGAGAAAAGACACATGCATATAAAAACCAGTGATGGAAGCAAATTATTTTAAGATAAGAACTTTATTGATCTCACAAAAGGAGAAATGCACATGTCACATTTAGCACAGATTGAATCACTCAGATTGTGCAAAAGACAGAAGTGTGCAAACATGTTAAAGGTTAAAAAATACAGTCTGTGCAGGATGGGTTTTTATGAACGGTAAAAAAGAGAGCGAGGAGCTGTAGTCACGGGGTTTTAGTGCATACTTCCTTTATTGCGGTTTGAAAGATTTTTATGAAACAAACACGTAAAATCCCAAACTCTTTTCCGTCAGCCTGAAGTGGAGATAGTATTTATGTTATATACTGAGATGTTTTGCGGGATTAAATTGACTAAGCAGGTAGATGGATAGTGACCATTCTGTCCTATACTCTATTAGGCAAAGTACAGGAGACACCAAACAACACACACACATGAGATTCCCATAAATCACATATAGATTTTCCAGAAACCGTTCGAGGCTATGACCGAGGCTCTGAACCACATGCCCCGGACATTACACAGGAATGCACCCGGTTTATCACTGGGAGCCCACGGACAAGATAACCACCGCCACTTTTATTTACGGTTCACTAATGAGCAAAGAAAAAAAGGGCAACGGCAAACAAGAGCTTCATAGAACATCCTCCAAGAGTCAAGTTGAGTTCAGAGAAAATAGCCTGCCCCCCCCTCCCCACCCTCCCATGTCCGCGCTTCCCCTTTTGAGAATCTCACAGGGGAAACTGCCTCCCTCTTGGCCACACTGTCCGCTGGGTTCTGTAAACTAAGGACAAGCATAGACAACATGACGGAGCCCATGGATTATACTCTGGCTTGATACTTTTCGGATATGGAGGCGTTTAAAGGTAATTATGTAATGTTATGTTTTTATTCTATTGTTGACATGTGTGTTATTAGGAGGCTATAGTTAAAAAAAGGACAAAATGGGAGACATTTCTTGTATCTTTTTTTAAATCTTTGCGTCATTGACATACTTTGTTTTAAGGCAGTCAATATGGGCTCAAATGAAGATACATTTTGGCATTTTTGAGCAATTTTTGACTTATTTCTAATCCCATTTTGCAGTGTATTTAAAGTGAAATACAAAGTGTTTACTGATGTCAAATTTAACAAACATGCTATAACTGTACACTGCAAAAAGTGATGGAAAACAGGCCAAAAATTGCTGCAATATGTGTCGTAATTAGAGCACATTCTGACTGCCTGGAGACAAGATTTGCCGATGGGAAAAAGCAAAATGATTTTAAAAAAGATACAAGAAATTAAGATAAAAACCACTCCATTCAAGCATTTAATAACCCATATTTTTGTTGTTTTCTGCTGTGTATCGCAGCTTGGACTTTGCTATCATAAACTTGTTATAAGCTTCCTTGCTGCCAGGACTCTGTGTGTGTTTTCGAGATGACGCACTCTGGTCTTTCGTCTCACGGTTAAATCCATCTTCGTTCCAAATTATGACAGCGACAAAAGACCGGCGTAACTCAAGATGCTCCGTTTCATAAATTATTCACCGACCGAAATCTATAAGAATACAGAGTTCCATTGCAGTCCCAGGTAAATACGTTTACAGCATTTTATTTATTTTTCAGTTTGTCTTTTACCTATTTGCATATAATGATTGTTATTTGTATTTTGAGGCACCTGTTTTGTTTTTATTATGTTTAAATATATAATAAAAAATATGTTTACAGCTGTTTGGTCCTTGGCTGTTTCAGTATCGCTATGGCAACACACAAAAGAGATGCAGAAACATGTACTGAACAAAAGTATTGGGCTGTGGTCGTTTAAAGCTCGGGAACCTAATATTTTTTCATAAAGTCCTAACAGAAAGAGTGAGATGTTGTTATTAGAAAAAAAAAATTACATTAGGCAAACTCAGGCTCGTGAGCCATATCCGGTCCGCAAGACAATTTTCACTAGCCCCTAAAATGATTGTCAATTATTATTATTATTATTAAGATTCAGCATTGATGGTTATGGGTTACCAAGGCGTGTTATGCATCTGTTTCCTCAAGAAAATAACCACATTTAATTTATTCTAAGATTTTAACTGAACACATTATTAGAAGTCCATCCATATATCCATCCTTCCCCTTAATGGCCGGAGATGCCACCCAGTACACACAGCACCAGTATGGAGCTATTATTGTTTCAATAATATTTGTGTGTGCGTAAAAAGATTTGTGCGTGCGTAACCAGATTTGTGTGTGCGTACCCAGATTTGTGTGTGCGTAACCAGATTTGTGCGTGCGTAACCAGATTTGTGTGTGTGTAAAAGAAATATTTGTGCGTGTGTAAATAGATTTGTATGTACGTATCAAAATTTGTGTGTGCGTAAAAAGATTTGTGTGTGCGTAAAAAGATTTGTGTGTGTGTAAAGAAAAAAAAAGTACGTTTTACACACAAGTTTTTTTTTACACACGAATCTTTTGACGCAGTCCTGCCTTCGCAGATTCGCAAGTGTAACTTGGACTGTGTGCGTGCGTAAACAGATTTGTGTGTGTAATTTGACATTTGTATCTGTAAAACAATCTGTGTGTAAATAACCGCGTTGTACAAAGAGAAGAACGAAAAAAGCCTAAGTGCTACGCACAGGCTCTGTTTTACACACGAATCTCTTTTTGACACACCTCTGCCGCCAAGCGTGTGTCAAAAAGATTTGTAAGTGTAATGTGGTTGTTCTAGCAGTACACCAGCAGATGGTGCTGTTGTAGCTGGTTATTACCTACACGCAAGCAAACCAGCAGAGTTTGTGGCACTAACTAACGTGTAGATAGAAAGAAAACCGAAGGATTTAAGAAGAAGAAAAGTTCAGGATGACAAGGGACACTAAAATTCCCACAAAATCCGACCTTTATGAAAGCTGTAGGTTCTCTGTCAGGTTCTCTGTCAGGTTCTCTGTCAGGTTCTCTGTCAGGTTCTCTGTCAGGTTCTCTGTCAGGTTCTCTGTCAGGTTCTCTGTCAGGTTCTCTGTCAGGTTCTCTGTCAGGTTCTCTGTCAGGTTCTCTGTCAGGTTCTCTGTCAGGTTCTCTGTCAGGTTCTCTGTCAGGTTCTCTGTCAGGTTCTCTGTCAGGTTCTCTGTCAGGTTCTCTGTCAGGTTCTCTGTCAGGTTCTCTGTCAGGTTCTCTGTCAGGTTCTCTGTCAGGTTCTCTGTCAGGTTCTCTGTCAGGTTCTCTGTCAGGTTCTCTGTCAGGTTCTCTGTCAGGTTCTCTGTCAGGTTCTCTGTCAGGTTCTCTGTCAGGTTCTCTGTCAGGTTCTCTGTCAGGTTCTCTGTCAGGTTCTCTGTCAGGTTCTCTGTCAGGTTCTCTGCCAGGTTCACTGTCAGGTTCTCTGTCAGGTTCTCTGTCAGGTGTTTTAGTTTACATTGAGTTCTATGGGGAACATTTCTGTGTAGCCCACGTGAATTTAGTCTGCAGTACGCGAGAATCCTTCAGCTCCAAGCTCCTATCCAGTTATTATAATAGATCCATGTATCATACAGTGGTGTGAATGACAGGATTTTAAATATAGGAAAAAAACATCATAAACAGCTGCGGTAGTGTGTCGTGTCAAGGCAGTAGGTTTTGGTTTGTTTGCATGTAGTTAATAACTACAACAGCACCATCTGCTGGTGTACTGCTAGAACAACCACATTACACTTACGAATCTTTTTGACACACACTTGGCGGCAGAGGTGTGTCAAAAAGAGTTGTGTGTAAAACAGAGCCTGTAGCACTTAGGTTTTTGTCCGTTCTTCTCTTCGTACAACGTGGTTATTTACACACAGATTGTTCTGCTACAGATACAAATGTCAAATTACACACACACAAATCTGTTTACGCACGCACACAGTCCAAGTTACTAAGTTTTTACGCACACACAAATCTTGATACGTACATACAAATCTATTTACACAAGCACAAATATTTTTATTACACACACACAAATCTGGTTACGCACGCACAAATCTTTTTACGCACACACAAATATTATTGAGACAATAATAGCTCCATACTTTCTGGGTTGAGTTTGCATGTTCTCCCCGTGTTTGCGCAGGGTTCCTCCGGGTACTCCGGTTTCCCTACCACTAAAAACATGTACAATAGGTCTGTGCCTCCTGTCCTGGCCCCGCCCATCTCTGTGTGTAGTCAGAGACTAATGTAACAACTGTAAACCGCTTTGACTCTGGTCTGAGAAAGGCGCTATATAAATAAACATTACTTACTTACTATAGTGTTAATTTAATTTAGGATTGCTTTACCTTCGTTTCCTTATGTTTGTAAATGTGTATAATTGGATGTCTTTGTAAAGCACTGCATGAAGAAGACACTTTATGAATAGTGCTTTATAAATAAACTTGATAAAAACATTGATACAAAACATAGCAGAATGTTGCACTTATTGTTCCGTAACATGCGATGAGGCAAAAGATCCCAAAATAACCCAGACAGACATGAAAAGCTCTCACATCTAAAAACAGGTTTGTCTGAACAGAGGGGGGGGGGGGGGGGGGGGGGGGGGTAAAGGGCTAAGATCACGTGTTCTGTACCTTTGGAGAATGTACCTTTGATCTCTTTGGTGAACTTGACGCGGTGCGAGTCGGTGAGAGGGCGCGGCTGCTCGTCGATGTTGTGGATGTCCAGCACCTCACACATGAACTGGATCACGGGCTGAGCTTTGTAGAACGCTGTGGCAGAGACTGTGGCGAAGGGAAGAAGAAGAAGAGTTAGCAACGAGCAAGAACCATTGTCTTTTTTTTATTTTATTCTATTCTGTACAGTTTTCTCGGATCACAGAATCAAAGAGTTCAAACACAAGAAATGAAAAGTTACTAAAAAGTTGTCCGAGCTGTTGTATTTTAGAAAACATTCTCTGTTGGGAAAAAAAAACTAGTTCTCAGCAAAAATTATGGTTCTTCTGAATTGCTGGGTTGCAGCTGACGTCACGCAGCGGCGCGAAAGTGCTCCGAGGGACAGGAAGTAAATCTACCCATTAGGAACAATATTTAAAAAATCACTGATTCTAACTCAAAATGCTCTTTTTCTGTGGCGTGTGCAGTTGTGGAAACTGCTCATATCAAGTGGAACTTATGGAGTTTCTATTTTGCTCAAATGTATAAATGGGTGTCTAAAAAGGAAAGAAAGAAATGCGTTAGCGTTAGCATTAGCCGCGTAGCATCCGTAGTATAAGTCCGTAGTCTTTACTTAGCTGACTCACATAGATACAATATAGAATTTTTGTGTGGTATACGGTTGTAGTACCCGAGGGAATAGAACTGTTAAATACATTTTTAATGCCAAATGTCGTCTCAAACCAACATGTACATGTGTAACAAAGCTAGAGGCAGGATGTACAAGTCTTCTCACTTATAATCTAGTCATTGTGTTACAAGAGTCATCGTTCATCGTTATTCCCACGACTGAGGCCAGGGTCCGGGACTGCGAGGGCCGAGGTCCGGGACCGTGAGGACTAGGGTAATGTCTGAAGTTGTATCCGAGCTCTGTGCCCCCCATTCTATTTAATAGGAGTAAAATACTTCCTGTCCTACAGCCCCGTGTCACGCCCCCTTTTGGTCATGTGTTGCAACCCAGCAATAGAGGCTAAGTTAGAGTTTGTCCAGAGACGCAGATCCAGACGTTACACTGGAGCCGGTGTTCTGTGGAGTTGGTCTGCCCGTCGAGATGATCTCCCTCTGCTGTTAATGATGAAATGCAAACCTGCGCATGTGCGTCTCACTGCAGCCGAAGCAATCCAAGATGGCGGACATGTAGTCCGCGAATTGCTTTAAAAGTTAAAATACGAACGAATTAAGACACAAATTTCATTTTAATGCAATCTGAGGCGAGATGTTGATGGTTCCACGTTGTGAAATGTGTGTTTTAAGAGTAAGAGTATCGTGTAAAGTTTGTTTTAAGCAGTCCATTGCTCCTGTGAAACTACACTGCTGCTGTGTTAGAGCAGTCCCTGAGTCGACTGCTGCATACGTCATTTCACTGACGTAGGCCCATGATGCGTCCTGTGACTGGTCTGTCGGGTTGATAATGGAAATAATACATTTAATTTTATGCATGTATTATACTGTATTCAATATGATTAACAACAGTGTGTTCAAACAAAATATTTAATTAGATCGAGTTTTTTCCCCATTCTTTCGGGTTTGTGCGCATGCGCAAGTCAAATTTGGGTTTAACTAGCAGTGTAGTTTCACAGGATCAGTGGACTGCTTAAAACAACCTTTACACGAAACTCTTACTCTTAAAACACACATTTCACAACACGGAACCATCAACATCTCGCCTCAAATTGCATTAAAATTTACATTTGTGTCTTAATTCGTTCGTATTTTAACTTTTAAAGCAATTTGCGGACTACATGTCCGCCATCTTGGTTTGCTTCGGCTGCAGTGAGACGTGCAGCGCAGGTTTGCATTACATCATGAAGCTGAGGCAGATCATCTCGACGGGCAGACCAACTCCACAGAACACCGGGAATGTTCTGTTCTGGTTAAAAAGATTCCAGAGTTTTATTTGTGGAGAGTTTCCTCACCGTCGATGTTGAGCATCATCTTCCACATGGCGGGACGGACCGACTGATGGAACCCAAACCACACCTCGCGGCCTCCTCCCAGCGGGTGGTCGTAGCCCTCCGGAGACGAGAAGAAGGAGCGTCCCACTGGGGTGTATCTGGGAGACAGGGACATGAGGAATGAAGCTCAGCTGGAAAACCTCTGATTCTAAAGTAAGATGTTTTTTTATTCATCCCACTGCGAGGAAGAGTCATCGTTACACATTTCAGAAGAACCACGTGAGGAAATAAGACTCAGACGCACACATCAGAGTCTTATGATTCCAAACATGACATGTACATTTCTCCATTGTGAGATCAAGTTTATCTTAGAGATATCTTATCTTAGATGATCCAAATCTATCAAAGTTGGACCAAAAGTAAAAACTAACTATAACACTTGATATTTCTGTTGCAGCTCAGAGTGTGTTCTGTGTTCTTCTAGGATCAGATTTCTACAACTCATCAACAGGAAATACTCGAGTCTAATTAACGACAGAAGTTTGGAGCAAGGAATTTGGGGTGTGGGAATCTCTTTGGATTCTAATGGATGAAGAAGCATTTGTCTTTTTGGAAACGCCACAGTTTAAATTCAGGCTTTTTTATCACAGATATTGATGTTATAATTATTTGAACGGTCCGTGTGATGTGGGCCGAGTTAGTAAGTAATGTATGTTTATATAGAGCTTTTTACAGGCCAGAGTCACACAGCATGACTTTTTCTATTCTCTACTTTGTAACCTGCACAGAGAGCCAACGCAATGTCTTTGTGACTTCTTGTTACTCACATGGAAATAAAATATGATTCTGAAGGTAATTTAAACTGAGCTGGCTTCTGTGTTACCAGCGAAAGTATCAAGGAACAAAGATTGAGTCTGTCTCAAGAGAGAACAAACCCGGCAACGGATAAAGTGCAAGAAAATGAACATTGAGCTGTACAAAAAAAAAAAATCGTAATAGTTGTACACCCACTTTTATATCGTTGTAAATATTATTACCTATTTCCTTTTTAAAATAATGTACATTTTCTGACCATGGGAAAGATTTGCTGGAAGAGAATAGTTAAACCAATGACAACGGGCCTCAAGAATTTGAATTAAAATCGGCCAATCAGGAGGCTGCAGTTCTGAGCATGGGCAGGTCTAACCAGTGTCTTCAAATATATTTCCTTCTCTCTTCACAATCTGAAAACTAACTGACCTTCACTTTAAACAGGTAAAGAATATAATAGTCAAACTTAAAGTATTCGAATCAGAAAATGGAGATTGGTCAATAGTGTGTATTACAGAACTAGACTTTGGTTCCTATAAAGTCAAATTAATTAAGCATTTACTGGTACTTAACTCTGTATATTTTGTATACTACTTGTGTGCGTGACATTCATCAACATTCATGGACATTGGTCTCTCCCTATGGACCAATTCATATGTGTATATTTTTTCTAAACTGTCTTAACTGTTGATTCTCTGATCTGTGTTGGTGATTTCAATGGTTTTGTTAAGTCTCTGAGATGAGGCTGTTGTGATTTAGAGCTATACAAGAATAAATTGTATCGTATTGCTCTTACTACAGTCCTGAACCCAAGTTTCCCCACTGTGGGACGAATAAAAGTATCATCTTATCAACATGACGGATTCTTCTTCTTCTCCCTCAGATTTCTCCGCCCTGGACGAACACCCTCCCAATTGACAATCTCCTGCATTTCCCTCGTTTCCCATGATGCAGTTCTCACTTCATGGAGGGCAGGTGGCGCAGGACCACATCCACAGCGTGCACTGGGTTGGTGCTGATGGGTTTGTCCAGGTCCACAGGCTCCGCCACCGCGCGCCCCGTCAGGACCTCGTGCAGCATGTGCCAGCTCACCAGCGACACAAAACGCATGGTCACTTTGAACGGACGATCTTTCCCGCCCTCACCAGGAAGCGTGACGTCCAGGTCCACCTAAACACAGATGCAGACAGGGTTTAGAAGATGTACTTTGTTGATCTCACAAGAGAGATAGTCATATACACATATCACATAAAGGGTATACTGCGCTCCTTATAGGCAAAGTGGGGTAAAGTGTCTTGCCCAAGGACACAACGACAGCAGTGTGAGTCAGTGGAGAAGGCCTTACAGTGTTTCAAACACAACCTTCAGGCTCAAAGGCCAATGCTCTACCAACTGAGCCACTGTGACCCCATTATGTAGCACATCTTTAAACATACTCTAACGGCCAGTGAGATTTCCAAAGCTAACAGCGGTGCATTCATTTTCCTCAGCGAAAGTAGTTCCGGTCAGACTTAACATTCTATTATCCCTGCTCCGCTGACATCACTATAGCAAAGGGGTAGCAAACGCTCGGCTGCTCTGTAGAGACCAGCTTCAAGTAAAACAAATCATTAGAATCTTGAAAATCCAGGAACAGCCATTTCAGATTCACAGGTGACTAAATGGTTTTCAAGCGCTCAATGCAACCTTTTTAAGTGTCCAAGTCTGTTCCGTCCTGTTATCTACAATGATAATAAAATAATTCTGATTCCGAGTCTAAAAGCCCCTTCGGTCCCTAAGCCTGGATGTTATTAAAATTATCAATCATAGGGAAACACAATATAAGTGAATGTGGAAGTGATGGGAGAAAACTATTACGTCGTACAATAGTTGCACCAATCTAAGAAAACCTGTTTATCTGGTTCAGTTCAATCACATTATAAAGTATGTCAGTAAGTGGTATTCATATCACAGACCAAGGCCCTTTACAAAGTTGTTGTAGCAGTAATCCCCTTTTGCTCCATTCAGAAGTGAAAACGCTAAAACAAACACATCAAAGCCTCTAACCGTCACCTCCCTACACCTCCCTACACCGTCACCTCCCTACACCGTCACCTCCCTACACCGTCACCTCCCTACACCGTCACCTCCCTACACCGTCACCTCCCTACACCGTCACCTCCCTACACCGTCACCTCCCTACACCGTCACCTCCCTACACCGTCACCGTCCAACACCGTCACCGTCACCGTCCAACACCGTCACCGTCCAACACCGTCACCGTCCAACACCGTCACCGTCCAACACCGTCAATGTCCAACACCGTCACCGTCCAACACCGTCCAACACCGTCAATGTCCAACACCGTCCAACACCGTCAATGTCCAACACCCTCAATGTCCAACACCGTCAATGTCCAACACCGTCAATGTCCAACACCGTCAATGTCCAACACCGTCAATGTCCAACACCGTCAATGTCCAACACCGTCAATGTCCAACACCGTCACCGTCCAACACCGTCAATGTCCAACACCGTCAATGTCCAACACCGTCACCGTCCAACACCGTCACCGTCCAACACCGTCACCCTCCAACACCGTCACCCTCCAACACCGTCACCGTCCAACACCGTCAATGTCCAACACCGTCACCGTCCAACACCGTCACCCTCCAACACCGCCACCCTCCAACACCGTCACCCTCCAACACGTCACCGTCCAACACCGTCAATGTCCAACACCGTCACCGTCCAACACCGTCAATGTCCAACACAGTCACCGTCCAACACAGTCACCTCCCTACACCGTCAATGTCCAACACCAACACAGTCACCGTCCTACACCGTCACCTTCCTACACCAACACCGTCCAACTCCGTCCAACTCCGTCCAACACCGTCCAACTCCGTCCAACACCGTCCAACTCCGTCCAACACCGTCCAACTCCGTCCAACACCGTCCAACTCCGTCCAACACCGTCCAACTCCGTCCAACACCGTCACTCTCCAACACCGTCAGTCATGTTTTAGTAGTAGGGGAAACTGGAGCACTCACCGCAGCGACACAGGGAGAACATGCAATCTACACAGAAAATCCCGGTCTGAACCTTCTTGCTGTGAGAATGAAGCACTAACCACTGCACCACTGTCGCTCATAAATGATTGCATTTGCACATTTCCTGGTTGGTCCTTTAACATGAGCTAATGTCAGTATGACACTAAAACACTGAAATTTCCCCCCTTTCAGACGACAGAAGGTCCATTACAGGCTGATAATTTCCCAGAAATTGAAACACTAAACCGTTTAGTAGTTACTTCCAAGATAAATAAAACAGTTGGGTCTGTTTTGTAATAAATTAGCTGTAATTGTGACACTAAGTTATTTTCCTTTCACTGCTAGAGTTAGTCTCAGTCTCAGGTCGGGTCCGTGCAGAGATCCAACCACAGACTTCAGATGGAGAGGCTGAGACCGTCATGTCCGCTGTCAACACCATAAACAAGTGTAAATGAGGTCTCACTCCGCTGGTGGCGACGGGCAGCGGCTGTGCGGTGTACAGGCTCCTCTTCCCATCGTAAACCGGAAGACGGTCTCCAAAGATCGTCACCTTGAAATGCTGAACCATGGAGTCCACCACCTCCCTGCAACACATCACTTTAAGGTCATTTTAAACACCAGATTGTTTCACGCTTTAGATGTAAAATGTGTTTTATTTCAGACAATAAATTAATCAAAATAACAAAATCATCTGGATTAATAACGCATCAAGTTTTTTGAAGCATTTACCGATTTCTAAGAAACACAGCAGCTTCTTATGTTGTTTTGCTCCCTGTGTCTTATCATACAGCGCTATTTTGGAAACTCAAACAGCCTCACGTGTCATTCATTCACCAGATAAATGTTTCTGGAAAATCCCATACGTTTTTGGAGGTATGATGCAAACTGTCAAACACTAGTGATCACTTTACCTCCTGGAGCATTAACAAACATTCAATACTGAGAGTGTCATATTTGTCTATGGGCTTTGTCTAAGTGTGACAAAAAATGTATTTTAATAATCAGAAGATGTATAATGTTATTCATGTATCAAAAAGAAGACTGTTTTATACACGAGTCCAGTTTCCTAAAGCGGTTTAGTTTTTGTAACAGACCTGATGCGTTGACAGAATGAGCTGAAGTTTGTTACATACAGTGCCTTGCGAAAGTATTTGGCCCCCTTGAACCTTTCAACATTTCGACACATTTCAGTCTTCAAACATAAAGATATAAAATTTTAATATTTTGACATGAATCAACAACAAGTGGGACACAATCGTGAAGTGGAACGAAATGTATTGGATAATTTAAACTTTTTTAACAAATAAAAAACTGAAAAGTGGGGCGTGCAATATCATTCGGCCCCTTTACTTTCAGTGCAGCAAACTCAGTCCAGAAGTTCAGTGAGGATCTTTGAATGATCCAATGTTGTCCTAAATGACTGAAGATGATAAATAGAATGCTCCTGTGTGTAATCAAGTCTCCGTATAAATGCACCTGCTCTTTGATAGTCTCAGGGTTCTGTTTAAAGCACAGAGAGAACCATGAAGACAAAGAAACACACCAGGCAGGTCCCAGATACTGTTGTGGAGAAGTTTAAAGCCGGATTTGGATACAAAAAGATTTCCCAAGCTTTAAACATCTCAAGGAGCACTGTGCAAGCAATTATATTGAAATGGAAGGAGTATCAGACCACTGCAAATCTACCAAGACCCGGCCGTCCCTCCAAACTTTCATCTCAAACAAGGAGAAGACTGATCAGAGATGCAGCCAAGAGGCCCATGATCGCTCTGGATGAACTGCAGATAACTACAGCTGAGGTGGGAGAGTCTGTCCATAGGACAACAATCAGTCGTGCACTGCACAAATCTGGCCTTTATGGAAGAGTGGCAAGAAGAAAGCCATTTCTCAAAGATATCCATAAAAAGTCTTGTTTAAAGTTTGCCACAAGCCACCTGGGAGACACACCAAACATGTGGAAGAAGGTGCTCTGGTCAGATGAAACCAAAATCAAACTTTTTGGCCACAATGCAAAACGATATGTTTGGCGTAAAAGCAACACAGCTCATCACCCTGAACACACCATCCCCACCTCAGCTGTAGTTATCTGCAGTTCATCCAGAGTGATCATGGGCCTCTTGGCAGCATCTCTGATCAGTCTTCTCCTTGTTTGAGATGAAAGTTTGGCGGGACGGCCGGGTCTTGGTAGATTTGCAGTGGTCTGATACTCCTTCCATTTCAATATAATTGCTTGCACAGTGCTCCTTGAGATGTTTAAAGCTTGGGAGATCTTTTTGTATCCAAATCCGGCTTTAAACTTCTCCACAACAGTATCTCGGACCTGCCTGGTGTGTTCCTTTGTCTTCATGGTTCTCTCTGTGCTTTAAACAGAACCCTGAGACTATCAAAGACCAGGTGCATTTATACGGAGACTTGATTACACACAGGTGCATTCTATTTATCATCATCAGTCATTTAGGACAACATTGGATCATTCAAAGATCCTCACTGAACTTCTGGACTGAGTTTGCTGCACTGAAAGTAAAGGGGCCCAATAATATTGCACGCCCCACTTTTTAGTTTTTTATTTGTTAAAAAAGTTTAAATTATCCAACAAATGTCATTCCACTTCACGATTGTGTCCCACTTGTTGTTGATTCATGACAAAAACTTAAAATGTTATATCTTTATGTTTGAAGCCTGAAATGTGGCGAAATGTTGAAAGGTTCAAGGGGGCCGAATACTTTCGCAAGGCACTGTATTTTCAGATCAATTTGAGTCAGAGTTTAGTTTGTTTACACAGAGTAGAAATAAAGTGATTACTTTAATATTAAGCCAATTTTTTTTTCCTGAAGTTTAATTTTTAGAAAAAACTTGACGGAAACCATCAAGTTAAGCATTTTTCATTTAAATTTGTATGGATTATTATTTTGTAAATGATTCCTTTTTAAATGCAGTGATTTCCTGATGTTGTGTTAATGTGAATCTGTCATCTTCGTCTATGACCTTGTATTTTCTCTGAGTCACAGAATGATCCAATCAGAGCCTGATCTGGGTTTATCATTTAGCCACAAATGTATGTGTCAATCTTTACTTTTGATTTTATCCACACTATCTCTTTGATGTGTCTGTTTGATTTTTCATTTTATTTATGAAAGTAAATGTTTGAGTTAACACTGGACACTGGACTGATAAACACTGGACCAGCTCTATACTCTCCATCGGATACTCGAGGGTTCATGGGAGTTCGCCCAACCTGTCCACATGTGCTTTGTGGATTTGGAGAAGGCGTTCGACCGCGTTCCCCGGGGTGTCCTTTGGGGGGTCCTCCGGGAGTACGGGGTCCGGGGTCCTCTGCTGAGGGCTGTTCGGTCCCTGTATGACCGGAGCCAGAGCTGTGTTCGCATTGCTGGCAGTAAGTCAGACCTGTTCCCGGTGCATGTTGGCCTCCGCCAAGGCTGCCCTTTGTCACCGGTTCTGTTCACTGTATTTATGGACAGAATCTCTAGGCGCAGCCAGGGGCCGGAGGGGGTCCGGTTCGGGAACCACAGGATTTCATTTCTACTTTTTGCGGATGATGTCGTCCTGCTGGCTCCAACGAACCAGGACCTGCAACATGCACTGGGACGGTTTGCAGCAGAGTGTGAAGCGGCTGGGATGAGAATCAGCACCTCCAAATCCGAGGCCATGGTGCTTGACCGGAAAAAGGTGCCTTGCCCTCTCCAGGTGGGTGGAGAGGTCCTTCCTCAAGTGGAGGAGTTCAAGTATCTCGGGGTCTTGTTCACGAGTGAGGGGAGGATGGAGCGTGAGATTGACAGGCGGATCGGTGCAGCGTGCGCAGTGATGCGGTCTCTGTATCGGACCGTTGTGGTAAAGAGGGAGCTGAGCCGAAAGGCAAAGCTCTCAATTTACCGGTCAATCTTCGTTCCCTCCCTCACCTATGGTCATGAGCTGTGGGTAATGACCGAAAGAACAAGATCGCGGTCGAAATGAGCTTCCTCCGCAGAGTGGCTGGGCGCTCCCTTAGAGATAGGGTGAGGAGCTCGGTCACACGGGAGGAGCTCGGAGTAGAGCCGCTGCTTCTCCACGTCGAGAGGAACCAGTTGAGGTGGCTCGGGCATCTGTTCAGGATGCCTCCTGGACGCCTTCCTGGGGAGGTGTTCCGGGCACGTCCCACCGGGAGGAGGCCCCGGGGAAGACCCAGGACACGCTGGAGAGACTCTCAGCTGGCCTGGGAACGCCTAGGGGTCCCCCCGGACGAGCTGGAGGAAGTGTGTGTGGATAGGGAAGTCTGGGCGTCTCTGCTTAGACTGCTGCCCCCGCGACCCGGCAACGGATAAAGCGGAAGAAAATGGATGGATGGATGGATGTTTGAGTTATAAAATGTTTAAGTCCAGATACTTTGACTACAATAAAACTACATTCAGTGTGAACTAGAATAAACCAAACTATAATCAAATCCATATTTGGCTAATTCCGGTGCATTTACAGAAATGTTGATTAATGTACACTGTCCCTGTCAAATAAATAAATAAATAAATAAATTCACGGCTCTGAGGCGAACATGAGAATGTTCCGCTGACCTGTTGACTCTGCGTGGGCACTTGTCAGGCTTGATGTCCACCTCATACAGATACACGTCGATCTTGGGGATCTCCACCTGGAAGCAGTTGGCCAGGAGCCGGATGGGTTTCCCGATCGTGCCATAGCCTGGTCTCCGCGGCAACGAGAACAGGGACTGGGCTCCTGCGGGAAAAACACCAGACGAGAGAATAAACGGCGACGTAACAATGACTGTGGACTGCAACAGCTCAGACAGAAGCAGTTTAACACTGTAAACAAATGATACTGTTGCATCGCATTTGAAGACAGAAAGAGAAATGAAACAAAGAAAAGAATTGAAGAATATGAACAAATCTGATCTCATTAGAAAACGTCTTTGACATACTTGTAAGAAAGAGCCCTGTGAGTCACTATTTGACTCTTTGAGCTGATTGGCTGGGTAAGTGTGGTCCTCTCTAAAATACCAGGAGTTAGATGGATTTTTGAATATTATATAGTTAGAAAGTTAGTAGTTCCGTCAGCTTTACTATATTTAGCAAGGTGTCAAACCGGTTCCAGAAAGGGCCAGTGCAGCTGCAGGTTTTAGAACCAACCTGAGCAGGAGCAGATCCACATTTCTTTTTCCTCAAATCTCCAGGTTAAAACTCACCTGAGGAAATGGGCGGAGTCTGTGATGCTCCGACATAGGGTGGAACTAAAATCTGTCCTTTGACGACCGGTTCGACACCCTGTTATATAGCATATATTCATAATAGTATACATTTATAATAAATATAAGTAAGACTATCCTTTTCCTGGACTTCTACAGCACATGTGGATGCTGGAGCTTTGTCCACTGAGTTTTTCCTTCATTGACACTATGGTGCTTTCAGACCGGATCATGCTGCGTCGGCTTTCAATGCAAATGGTGAAGCGCGTTCGAACGCCAAAACGCACGAGCGTCTCGGGACGCACGAACGGACAGCTCAGTAGAGACGCGCGGGAAAGTCGAAGGGGAGGAGCAGGAGTGGAAAATGGACGCCCACAGGAGATAAACTTTGCTCAACCTTTCCTCGGGACGTTCGTGCAGCGACCAATCAGAGAGCCGCAAAGTGGTCACAGGGACATTAGTGTCTGAGTGAGCAGACTGAACATACTGTAAACAGCCAAAACAGGAGCTAAAACCAGGGTTGACAATGGGAGACTCTGTGCTTGTGAATATGTGTTATCATGCTCCCATGACTTTATGCAACTGCTTCGAGTGTATTTGCCGATGCGGAAATACCGTTTAATAATAAAATAAACTTATTGCGCACCTCCGTGAACACATACTACTGTTATATAAAGTCACCTCCGTGAACACATACTGCCGTTATATAAAGTCACCTCCGTGAACACATACTGCTGTTATATAAAGTCACCTCCGTGAACACATACTGCTGTTATATAAAGTCACCTCCGTGAACACATACTGCTGTTATATAAAGTCACCTCCGTGAACACATACTGCTGTTATATAAAGTCACCTCCGTGAACACATACTGCTGTTATATAAAGTCACCTCCGTGAACACATACTGCTGTTATATAAAGTCTCCGTGAACACATACTGCTGTTATATAAAGTCACTGTGAACACATACTGCTGTTATATATAAAGTCCGTGGAAGGTCTCTGAACACAGACACCCTGCAAAGCTTCATATTGGAGAAGATCTTTACACGAGAAGCAGCTAGCATAACTCTGTTAGCATCAGAGCCGGCCGACTACTTCCGCCACTTCCGGCGCTGGTCAGGACGTTCTGGTGTGAAGACCCCTGCGTCTGAAAACTAGAGAATGTGCGTCTGGTGAGCGGGGCTGAAAGCACCACTATAAGCTACATTGACACAAATGTACAAAAGCTACAACACAGATGAAACTACAAGAGCCGTGCTCCGAGAAAAAGTGAAATTGAAAAAAAAATATTCCATAGTGATTTTCCGTTATTATTGTCAAACACGAGTCTGCTTTGACGTTTATAACATTATTTTTGTTGTGGACATTTCTTTCACTTTGTCCAGAGCGCTACCGTTTTGGATAAATCTTGTAGTTTGTGGCATTATTTATAAAAAAGTCTCAAAGTGCTAAACAATAAAACTAAATAAAATCCACAGAAACTCTTTACAAAAACTGCCTAAAAAAACAAAGTGCAGCAGCTCAGAGGAAGGAAGTGGTCACAGAGGAGCCAGAGATGAAGGCCGTTACTATCTGCTTCCTATTAAAGTAAAACAGTTTGAACTCAGACCTGATCTTTTCTGGTTTCTGTCGAGGGACTGGATCTGAGAGGATTTAGCAGCACAGGCTCCAACGTCGCACAAAAGCTTAGAATCAGTATCATCGAGTTACGACTAAAGTTACTACAGGAACTATAGAAGAGACAGGAGCAATGAAAGTGTCCAAGAGATGAACAATATTGACCCTTGTGAGTCATTGAAAAGATTGTTATGACTGCTGGGTTTTGGAAAAGCACAAAGTTACTGTGTTTGTCGACTCAAATCATGAAAACTAAAGTTTCTCTTCACACCTGGTTCTTGAATTTAGCACAAAGAATATTAGAATTGAAGCTAAGTTAAACATTGTTATCGCCAAAAGATCAAAAGTGTAAGAGTCCTTCACAGTGGGACGGTAGTCCCACTGTGGGAAGGACCCTATCTTAACACAGATATCAAAAAAATGTGTAAAAATTATGTTTTTTTTCCTGCAAGAACTTCACCGTTTGTTGAGGACACAGAACTGAACAGAGAAAACAAAATGACAGAAGTTCCATTGATCACAGAGAAAGAATATCGTTATCACACTGGTTTCCAGTACGAGTGGTCCTGATTAGATCTAAAAAAGTCTCTAAACTAATTTAGAGAAAATACTTATGTCTTAAAAAAGGCTGAAAATGACTGACCATGACATCATAGTATGAGGTGTTGTCGTAGCATTCATAATTTGAAAAAGGAGCATTTGGAAAGATGGGGTGGGGGGAGGGCCTGAAGTTCCTGATGTTTGTTCTGATCCGTTGTAACGAGCTTTAAACCCATAATAATACGATTGTGTCTTTATGGGGTCTTCAAACGGGCGAAAGGGCAGTGGGTTCAGCCGCACGTGTCTTTGAACCAGTTTAGTCCCGTAACCCACGGCAACATCAATAGTAAAACACAAGCCGCACGAACGCGCCCCTGGGCTACAATCAACTCGCGCCTGTCCTGAGCACGCTCCATTGACTCGCGGTGACACTTCAGCAGCGTCGGTTACAAACGGCAGTTCTGGCGCCCCGGCGTTGCCATAGCAGCAGCTGGACCAGTCCTCAAACGGATAAACTCAACGGCCGGGTTTCAGATGACATCACACTGTATTCAGGATGTGTGTGGAGTTTGAGCAAAGGGGACATGTATAATGCACTGGGAATGTCTTTAAGTTCTCAGTGGATCAAAATGAACAGGGACTGAGTGATTTTTGATTGGTCAATAGAACGAGTGCCACGTCATAGTCTGTCCATGTGTGTGGTTTTAAAAAAATTAGATTAGTCACTCCAAGACTTTACCTCTTCCAAAATCAAGGGAATGAAATGCACTTAAATATTTGTGCTGCACTACTTTAGAAGAATAATTTATTTCAAAACATACAAAATGAAACTATGACAAACATGAAAAAAACAGACACAAAAACAGTTTCAACCCAAACGCACGTCACAGCTCAGATCAAACTGTTCCGAGTACTTTTCCATTTACCGAGAATAGACCGCAAACGATCATTTCAATGTATTCTGTGCAAAAATAACAAGTGTCCTAAATGTCTCTCCATGACTGAATACGTTTGGAAGCATCACCTTGACTCGACAACACTCATTTTAACACTCAATAATGGAGGTAGCTCTCAGTGACAAGTCTCGTCTGGGTTTTATTTAAACTGTGTGCGTTGAGGAAAACACCTAGAAAACCCTGCTCTCTGAAGGACTTTTAACCTCATCACAGCCTCAGCGCTTCTTTACGAGCCGTTGTTTATTATTTATATGGTTCTACTGAGTCTTTGAGGAGCTCCTGGCCTTTCACTTGGGAGATACTCTCTTTTCTTTACTAGTTTCATCTATGAGACAGCTGAAAGACAATATGTATAATTACCATCATTTCTGGACTATAAGAAATCCATTTTGTTCACGTATCGGCTGCAGGTTTTCATGATGTACTGTTTTACCTGGTCACATGATTTAATGACGAGGGTTTAACAATTTAAGCGATTACATTTGTGCTGCTGCTCATTCACCTTCATCCATTTTACAAACAAGTCTCCTATAGCTCCTTAAACTTTGAGTCAAATAAGTCCAAAAATACTGCTCTACCACAATTATAGTAATATGTAAGATTTTCATCATTAAAGGGCCCTAATCTGTCATCATTAAAGGTCCTATATCACGCTTTTCTTCATGTTTCACACTCAATCCTATGCACATGTGTGATATTAATGTGTATGATGCACCACACAACAATCAAAGCTTGTGAGATTAGAGCCATCTCTTGTATAGAGGTGACGTCACCTCGACTCAAACGAGCTGATCCAGAGAAGAGTCTGCTCCTCTGCCTGTGAGCCCGCCTCCCCCCGCCCGCACGGTGACGTAGCATCACGCTTTTGTCGTTTATCACCTGTACTTAGTCATTTCATACATAAGAATAAACTTTTTCCAACAATGACAATCCGTCACATCGAGCCCTATGTCCTCGATGCACAATCAGACCCTAGTTATTTAGTTTACAGAAGTATACAGCGAGTTAGCGTCACTACTTACAGATCGAGGGGGTCCGTGTTACGTCTTTTACCGTGGGAATAACGTGTTTCCAGATCAGCCTTTGAGTAAGTCCAGTTCCATTGTCCCTGTAGTTCTGGAACAGTCTCAGTGAAGTGTCGCAGATGAACCGGTTTATAATAGATCCATGAGATGAACAGATGAAAAAAGTCGAGCCGCTTTCTTCCTCTTAGGGCCAAATAGTGTGTCACATATTTACACCCATAACACACTTCATTCAAGTTGACGTGATCCTAACACTTTTAGTTTCTGACAAAAGCATAAAAACAGCAGCTCTATGTGGTGTCCGCGAGACCAGACCACAGACGCTGGACTCGGGAGCCGGAGCCTGTGCGCTCTGATTCGCTGTTTTGATCCGTCAATCACCTTCCGCCGGCTTTTAATTTATTTTTATTTTTATTATTTTTGACAAAAAACAGCATACTAATTGTGTATTGTTTACCCCGTTTTGACAAAAGTATTTAACAACTATTTTCAATACAAAGCAAACGGGGTCATGCGCGTCATGCGCGTCATCAGTGTGGTTTTCGTCACTGAAGTGGACCCGAGCGTTTCTGTGCCTCACGCTGGGGAAGGAGACAGATTGTTCTCTTACAAAAGATTGACAGAATCAATGAATAAACTACTGTGGGCTTGTGTATGAAGGCCAAATAGCATTGTAATCATGTTTAAAGCAGAGAAAAGTCAAAAACCGTGATATGGGCCCTTTAAAGGGCCCTAATCTGTCATCATTAAAGGGCCCTAATCTGTCATCATTAAAGGGCCCTAATTTGTCCTCATTAAAGGGTCCTAATCTGTCTTCGATGTCCCGCCCTCCACCGTTTCACCAATCAGAAAGTCTGTGATCCGGGCGCCAGAACTCACCGCGTGGAGCTAATCTCACTGGTAAAGTACCATGTGGCGCAGAACTAAAAAAGGTCTCGTTATGATTCTCAAATCATTAACGACAAAACAAGGAATAAAACCAGGATTTCTATCTTTGTGAAAAAGGTGTTGGTTATAGATTTGTTGTTGACAAAACTCTTGTCTATTCAGCTGTTATGGTCCCAGCTGGATTCGTCTGCATATCTGGCAACCTGAGTCAGGGAGAGTGGGAGAGGCTGATTTTTACATACTGCTCCAGGATTCAATTAACTAGAAAAAAGTAGCGTCTTATAGTCCGGAAATTACGGTAACTAGACTAAAATAATGAGACTTTATTCTCCTCCTTCTCTTTCCCGTCACAGGCAGCTGACTGACACCTGCGTCTGACGGCTCCAGTCGTGACGTCAACATGAGGTGGAACTTGTGGGACGGGTTTGAAAAGGACTCGCACTGAATCCGGTTGCAACATAACAGCAGTTTGGATAAGCAAATGAATGAAGCCACTGAAGAGGTTTAAAGGGACAACAAAATAGTAAAGCAACCATTGGCATCGTGTTGCAAAACTTCAAAATAAAATGTATTCATTAGAACATGTTAACTTAAATAGAAAATATATTCATTCGGACATATTTGAATGAAATGACTAGATTAATACGGTGTCACTTTTCCAACTGATAGAATAGAATAGAATGAATAGATAATATACAATAAAAGGTCTATAGTATTTGAATTCACTAAACTTTTATTATGAAGGATGATAGAATTCCCCAAACAGTCAAAGCAAAACAGCCAGATCCACCACAAACAACTACTCCCTAAGCTTCATTTAAACTTTTATAATATAAATAATACAAAATACACTGTTCCTGAAACAAATCAATACATAAAACAAGCATTTTGCTCAAACTGAAACTTCTGAAAAGCAGACAACTTGTTACCAGGGCTTCAAGATTAATCACAATCAAAACAAAACCAGAATGCAAGGTCACAATTAGAAAGTCATAGGAACTCATTTCAACACAACAAAAACATTAGCCAATAATTGCTGGAATTAGAGAAACGTATTAACCAAATAAGTTTGTAGCACAAAATTAGTTTTATTTTTACAATTTTAAAGTTGGGATAGCTAACCTTTTTTACCACAAACAATGAGTTTAAGTTACTCTGACAGAGAGAAAGGAAAATACTGAGAACATTTCAGACCACAACATGTCTTCATCTTGAAAACATGAAATCTTTTAAACACTTTAAAAAGATCCCTGTGAGTCACGATTTGACTCTTTGGGCTGAGAGCTAACTGATCCAAAGATGTGATGGATGAAAGAAAAGCAAACGTTGAACCAAACTGTTATTCAAAGTGAGGAACTAGTTTAATGGATTATATTACATAGTTCCTTTTTGTGGTTGAAAATGATGTACCTCAACTTAAAATAAGACATTGTATTCTACTGTCAGTGAGTAAACCTTTGATAGTGAAAATGTTCTCAAATTTAAGCTAAAAACTAATTAAATTAATCATTTATGGATAAGTGGTCTAATCGAGTGGTTAGCCCTCTCGCTTCTAAGCAAGAAGGGTCTGGGTTTAAATCTCGCTCGGAATAGGGCCTTTCTGAGTGGAGTTTGCATGTTCTGTGTGTCCCTGTGTTTCCTCCGGGTGCTCCGGTTTCACCTACCACTAAAAACATGCACAATAGGTCTGCATGTAATGAGTGAAAGGATGGCGTTTGGTCGGAGGCTTTGATGGACCAGTGTGTTCTGTGTTTCGCTACTGTCATCACCGGAGAGAATAGAGCAATATCTAAATTCTGGACAATTGTAAAGTGCTTTGGGTGATGTTGGTGTGTAAAAGTGCGGTATACATATTTAAAGATGAATTACTAATCAGAGTCACGTATGTCACTTCTATCGCTGCACCATTGAGAGTTTATTTGTTGGTTCTGTGTCTGTGTGGTTTGGAAACATCACAGATAAAGAAAAGAGAGCTTTAAACAAGGTGCTCCGCTCTGCAAAGAGGACCGTGGGCTGTGAGCTTCCTGTTCTGGAGGTTCTTTATAAATCCACACTTTTAAACAAAGCTCTTAGGATTGTTAATGACTCTTCTGGCCACCCTGGGAAAGCCATGTTCCAGCTTCTTCCCTCTGGCAGAAGATATCGCTCTGAGATGCAGGACATCTCGTTACGCTAACAGTTTTTATCCACAGGCTGTTATCAGTGTGAACAGAGCACTTTAATGATTTGCACTTGTTTTGAAACTGTTTTAGTCGATCGATTTCACAGTGACATTTGTTTACTGTTTGATTTCTGTCTTTTAATGTTGTTTTATGTCTGTACTACACTGGTGACTTTTGCAAATGTATTCCAATGTGGTTTTACTGCAAATGGTAAACAAATGAATCTGAATCTGAGAAATCGTGCAGCCCTACATGTATGCCCACAAGTAGGCCTACTGTAGTTCACTTTGCCTACTATTGGACTGAAATCACAACAAATTCCCTTGCCACCACACAAAACCAGACTACAATCTCGCCACAGATTCCCAGGATCCAGCAGCAGCAGCCTGAAAATAACCCAGCACCTGAAGGCCAAATTAGGTTCGGTAGAAACATGGCCCCGAGTGAAGTCGTGGCTCCCACCTGTTGTTCCGATGTCCATTCATGAGGTCTCAGTCCGGAAGACCCGGCTCCGAGTGAGTGCGTCTCTCTCCGCGATGTCAGAACCAGCGGCAGCAGCGGCTCTGGGCTCCGACCCTCCCCGCGGTCCTGGTCCCCCTTTCGGCTTGGCTGCGTTCAGACGAGTCGGTCCGCTCGGAGGTCCACTTGGAGCCACTTGACAGCTTTAAAGTTGACCGAACGACACCGGATTCGATTTTAAACAACTTCCCGGACGTATCTGCGCAGACACGGGCAGAGGGGGTGAGTTTGGGCCGTTTTGACAGGATTAAAATCATGCTAAAGTTGGCAACATGACGTTAGCATTAGCGGCTAACACGGAGCTAGCTGTCAGATGCTAACGAGCTAAAACATGTCAACTCACGGTTCCAACAGCAGATGGACACTCACCTCTATGTGAACAGAACCACTCGTCCTGGGTTAAAACCGAGTCGATCCGAGCCGTGTTAAAGCATATGTCCGTAGCTCCGGTGTCCGGTCGGTGTCAGCGGCAGACAGACCCGGTGTGAAGTGCCTCCTCCTCCGCCTCTGTCAAGTTTACGAGCTGTACCCACAACAATGGCCTTTCACAGTAAAAGCACAACAATGGCCTTTCACAGTAAAAGCACAACAATGGCCTTTCACAGTAAAAGCACAACAATGGCCTTTCACAGTAAAAGCACAACAATGGCCTTTCACAGTAAAAGCACAACAATGGCCTTTCACAGTAAAAGCACAACAATGGCCTTTCACAGTAAAAGCACAACAATGGCCTTTCACAGTAAAAGCACAACAATGGCCTTTCACAGTAAAAGCACAACAATGGCCTTTCACAGTAAAAGCACAACAATGGCCTTTCACAGTAAAAGCACAACAATGGCCTTTCACAGTAAAAGCACAACAATGGCCTTTCACAGTAAAAGCACAACAATGGCCTTTCACAGTAAAAGCACAACAATGGCCTTTCACAGTAAAAGCACAACAATGGCCTTTCACAGTAAAAGCACAACAATGGCCTTTCACAGTAAAAGCACAACAATGGCCTTTCACAGTAAAAGCACAACAATGGCCTTTCACAGTAAAAGCACAACAATGGCCTTTCACAGTAAAAGCACAACAATGGCCTTTCACAGTAAAAGCACAACAATGGCCTTTCACAGTAAAAGCACAACAATGGCCTTTCACAGTAAAAGCACAACAATGGCCTTTCACAGTAAAAGCACAACAATGGCCTTTCACAGTAAAAGCACAACAATGGCCTTTCACAGTAAAAGCACAACAATGGCCTTTCACAGTAAAAGCACAACAATGGCCTTTCACAGTAAAAGCACAACAATGGCCTTTCACAGTAAAAGCACAACAATGGCCTTTCACAGTAAAAGCACAACAATGGCCTTTCACAGTAAAAGCACAACAATGGCCTTTCACAGTAAAAGCACAACAATGGCCTTTCACAGTAAAAGCACAACAATGGCCTTTCACAGTAAAAGCACAACAATGGCCTTTCACAGTAAAAGCACAACAATGGCCTTTCACAGTAAAAGCACAACAATGGCCTTTCACAGTAAAAGCACAACAATGGCCTTTCACAGTAAAAGCACAACAATGGCCTTTCACAGTAAAAGCACAACAATGGCCTTTCACAGTAAAAGCGCCCGTGCAAAGGGAGATTAAAGGCATTTGAGGCACTCCCGGAATGTGTTAGTGGGTAATGGGAAGGACCACTCTGTCAACAGAATAACCTGAGCAAATGTGTTGTAACTTGTGAGGGAATCTCTGAATGGAGTGGAAAACTAATGCAAGAGTCTTATTATTGGTGATTTGGGGTAAACTACACCATATCTTTACGTAGTTTTAATTGAAAAGGTTGTTGATATACACTTTGGTACTATCTCTCTGTTTGTTCTTGCACATTTTCTTCCTGAAAGTGTGAGACAGGTTTCTCCTCTGACAATGTTTAAATCCAGGTTTGAAACAGTTCCATTTAGCTGTGTATACAACTGAGGTATTTTATACTTGTATCTTTCTTTTTAATTTACTGTATTTATTTATGATTGTAATGCTTTCTTGTTTAGTTCAGAACTTTGAGTTTCCTTGTGTATGAATTGTGCTATACAGATAAACTTGCCTTTCCTTGCCTTACTCAATTGGAGGGGACTTGGGGACACAGACGTTCTCAACTCCGAGGGCGAAGTCAGGCCAGTCAAAACATTCAGGTAGCATTTCAAAACACATGCCTTAGCAGCACCAAGGGACCGCTCCAAAGGAAGGAGATGATGCAACTAATCTCAGCAACAAACCAAAATAAATAATACGCCGCCATTGTGCAATAATTCATAGAGCAGGAGCAGCATGGACCAGGTGGAGAAATACTCACTTCTGGTCCTGGATTGTGGCAGTCGAACCGAGAAGCTGCTGCTGTGCCAGAGGTTGTGGGTCACGAGCACTGAACTGAGCTAATGCCCAGTGGCTCAGATGTTCAGTCAGCTGCATGTTTCAGTCCCACACATACTTCCATTGTAATAAACCCTTGTACCCAGTGCGTTTAGAGGCATAATATATCTTCAAACCCACAGGGAAAATGAGAAGCTTCAGTGATACATCCATAAGAATTGATAGAAGAGTTTATTTGCTACATTTTACAGCCTTTTTCTTTGCAGAGGGAGGGGGGCACACAGGAGCATTTATCCATGTTGTTTTAATGGTTTGATTTCTATACTTTTGGAATCCTTTGAGGCGACTGCTGGTAGGACTTTAAGGTGTTAAAAAATACATTGATTTGTTTTAAATGGTTATAAGTTTGTTGTAGATTTGTGTTAAATTATTGTAACTTTCTTGTACATTTCTCCATTGTGAGATCAATAAAGTTTATCTTATTTTCTTAAGTGCTTCCTAGATTCCCACTGTCCTTGAACAGCACGTTGCCCCACAGACCTCATCTCACTGTGGAGAAAAATAGGTCCTCTTCACTCATAATTCCCACCCATAACTGTTGGGACTCTGAGGAGCACAGGGACTGGCCTCCTGCTGGGACTCTGAGGAGCACAGGGACTGGTCTCCTGCTGGGACTCTGAGGAGCACAGGGACTGGACTCCTGCTGGGACTCTGAGGAGCACAGGGACTGGCCTCCTGCTGGGACTCTGAGGAGCACAGGGACTGGCCTCCTGCTGGGACTCTGAGGAGCACAGGGACTGGACTCCTGCTGGGACTCTGAGGAGCACAGGGACTGGCCTCCTGCTGGGACTCTGAGGAGCACAGGGACTGGACTCCTGCTGGGACTCTGAGGAGCACAGGGACTGGACTCCTGCTGGGACTCTGAGGAGCACAGGGACTGGCCTCCTGCTGGGACTCTGAGGAGCACAGGGACTGGACTCCTGCTGGGACTCTGAGGAGCACAGGGACTGGACTCCTGCTGGGACTCTGAGGAGCACAGGGACTGGACTCCTGCTGGGACTCTGAGGAGCACAGGGACTGGCCCAGAGTCAGGACTAAACATGAGGAGGCAGTATTACAGATTTATAGAGCTATAGTCTGGAACAATCTTCCTGAAAACGACAATGTCTTCTCTGACAATGTTCCAGTCCAGGTTAAACAGTTATGATTATCTGTGTCTATAACTGAAGGATTGTATCTTTACTCTTTTCAATGAACTGAGCTAAGTTAGGATTTGTTTTGCCTTGTGCGATTGTTTCTATTTTACTTCTAGCAGAGTAATGCAGGATTTCAAAGTAAAGCTCAGTTCTGTTGTGATGTTTTCTAACTTGACCAAAGTCTGAGGGAAACCCTGAGGAAATACCAATGACGTCACCTCCGTTTCATTTATTTTTTCTGAAACGTGTACGTCATGTTTTAATTGTAAATTGACGTGTCGGGAGCGTATGTGTCACACAAATGTTCCCTTTGTATTTGTGGAAAATATATTAAAAAACAAATTCCGTGTGTGACTGAGAAGAGGAGCGACAAACGGCTTCTTTATCCTGGTCCTCCGTGTTCAGACTCCGCTCTGTAGATGTCTCCATAGTTACAACTTCACACAAGCAAATAGACTGTAAAGAGAAGAAAGACATCAGGAAATGGGCTTATGGAGGAAGAATCACTCATGGATCTGTTAAAATAACCACAGTTTGTATTCAGCAGGTAAAACTATATGCTCCTAATATCACTGATATCAGTATGGTTTGGTTTGTCACACACAGACCTTCAAAATAGGTACAAGGAATATATGTATCTATCTATATCTATCTATCTATCTATCTATCTATGTACAGTATCTACATCTATCTATGTATCTATATCTATCTATTCTAGACTTTTAAACTATTACAAACTTTTATACAGAGCAGGTCATTGTCGCTAACCCTTGACTATTCTTGCCCTAAAATCCAATTATTGCTTTGCTTTTGTTGAGCAGAAATATACATATACAAATACACATATACACGTACATATACATACGTACATATACAAATACACATATACATATACATACGTACATATACAAATACACATATACATATACATACGTGCATATACACATACACATAAACTGGATTGTAAATACTAGTGCTTTGTTTGTGTGTGTTGTGTGCAGGATGGATAAAGTGCTCACCTGCTTTCAGAGACGCCCTGAGGCTGTGTGCAGACTCATCTGTTTTCCGTGGGCAGGGGGAGGATCCATGCACTACGCCCGATGGGGACCTGTCCTCAGCAGCTCCATCGAAGGTACAGCTCCAGAATAAACCAGAACCATGTATTTCATAAAGCCTAAAGTAAACCATCAGATTAAGCCAACATGAATAAGTGAAGCCGTATTAGAAGCAAAAAGTCCTCTCAGCAACAAGGTCCTGGGCTCGAATCCCTGTCGGAACAGGGTTTTTCTGAGTGGAGTTTGCATGTTCTCCCTGTGCTTGCATAGGTTTCTCTCGGGTACTCCGGTTTCCCCTACCACTAAAATCATGCACACAAGGTTATATCCTCCATCAACATCTGGAGATGGGTTCCCGGGCGCTGTTACTACGGCGACCACTGCTCCTGACGTAAGCCTTAGGGGCATCAGGATGGGTCAAATGCAGAGGATGAATTGCCCTATAATGTTGCGTTTTTTATCAGAAGAGGTCCACTGCACACAGTGTAGGTTTTAATAATAATTGAACTTTATGACCGGACCATACACAATTATACACAATTTGAAGTCTTCTTAGTTTTTATATACTGTATGTACCGTACTTCTTGAAGTATTAAGAGTATAAGTATAGTATCACTCAGATTGTGCAATAGACAGAAGTGTGCAAACATGTTAAGGTTAAAAAGTGCCCCTGTACATAAGCTGCACCAGCAACATTTGACAGGAAAGTACAGTTTGTCCACATATAAGCCGCACTGGAATATAAGCCGCAGGTTTCTATGTTGTAATGTAGCAGAGAGACCGTTTTAACCGTTAGCTTCCATCTTAGCACTCATTCACGTCTGTTTTGTGTTCTAAAGCTCAGTATCTGTGTCCCCGCTGTGTCCCGGCACATGCAGACGCAGCTGACACAGGTTCACTTCTCCTCTGTCTCTGTGGTCAGTGTTCGCGGTCAAACTCCCCGGACGAGAGTCTCGAGCCCAAGAGCCGTTCTTCAGTTCCATGCAGCAGGTTGTGGATGAGGCCCTCGCTGCGTTGCTGCCGCTGCTGAAGGAGAAACCCTTCTCTCTGTTTGGACACAGGTGCAGGGTCTCAACAAAGCTCAGGAGTCGTGATCATGGGTTTGACTTTGGTTTGACTGTTTCTCATTTGTTGTCGATAGTTTTGGAGCCTTGGCGAGTTTCGCTGTAGCCCACGCTCTGAAGAAAGAACACAACATGGAACCAGTTCATTTGTTTGTGTCCGGAGCTTCTGCGCCGCATGTGAGCCACAAAACACTGCAGATCACGTCTGCTTCATCAGATGAGATTAGATAAGATAAGATGAGATAAGATAAGATAAAATGAGATTAGATAAGATATAAGATTAGATAAGATAAGATAGACTTCGTGGATTCACTCTGGAGGAATGTACATGATCTACAGCTGCGGTCTCTAACTCGCTCCTCACAGGCCTGTGTGGCTGCAGGTTTTCATTTCAACCAAGAAGGAGCTCACCAAATTCCACCCATTTCTTCAAGTCAGTCCTGTCTGAACTTGAAAAATAGAGTTTTCAGGATATAGTTATATGAGTTTTTATCAGCAAGAAGGTCCTGGGTTTGACTCCCAGTCGGAACAGGGCCTTTCTGAGTGGAGTTTGCATGTTCTCCTTGTGTCTGTGTAGGTTTCCTCCAGGTACTCCGGTTTCCCCTACCACTAAAAACATGTGCATTAGTTTAGGGTGAATGAGTGTTTGTGAGTGCGAATGTGGGATGGACGAGGCAGGGTCGGGATGGGAGGGGCAGGCACTTCTATTCATTTAGTGACAGTGGGAACTTATTGTCAATGAAAAACTAAATCCTGAAAACTCTTTCTCTGGATCAACTCTTTGGGTGTGCTCCTGCTTGGTTGGAATGAAAACCTGCAGCCACTCAGCCCTGTGAGGACCGAGTTGAAGGGCTCAGCTGCAGATCATGAAGCAGACATGTTTTTGATTCTGACGATGGTTTTAGATGTTAAACAGCTGCTGATGTGGCTGCTACAATCTTAGCACTTCTAGATTTCAGAACTGATTTAAAAGTTTAAGGAAGAGAGTTGGAGCTGACAGATCAAGTCCAAGTTCAAGTTCAAGTTTACACATACAGACTGAGTTTAGAAGCAGATAGTAGTTTATTTTCCACTCTCTGATCTGTGGGATGCAGTGAAAAGCGAGTCCTTCGGTCCATGTCGGTCTGCAGCGGCGAGAGTCTGAGGATTTACTTGAACACAACACAAACTGCAGTGTGTGTTTGTGGCTGTAGCTCCTGAACTTTGTGTGTGCTTCAGTCCGAGCGGCGCCTGAATCAGCCGAAGAGAAGCGAGTTTTCGGACGAGGACTTTCTGAGGTGGATGAGTGCGGTCGGAGGCACCCCCCCAGAGCTGCTCTCAGACCCCCAGGTCCTGCAGCTGTTTGTGCCCGCGCTGAAGGCCGATCTGCGGGTGGTCGAGAACTACACGTGAGTCCAACACACAGCACCTCACAGCACCTCACAGCACACAGCACCTCACAGCACCTCACAGCACACAGCACCTCACAGCACACAGCACCTCACAGCACCTCACAGCACCTCACAGCACCTCACAGCACCTCACAGCACCTCACAGCACCTCACAGCACACAGCACCTCACAGCACCTCACAGCACACAGCACCTCACAGCACCCTCACAGCACACAGCACCTCACAGCACCTCACAGCACACAGCACCTCACAGCACCTCACAGCACACAGCACCTCACAGCACCTCACAGCACACAGCACCTCACAGCACCTCACAGCACCTCACAGCACACAGCACCTCACAGCACCTCACAGCACCTCACAGCACATCAACCATAAACGGTTAAATATACAATAAAATCCCACAGGACGTTAAAACAAACGTGTGTTCTTTGTGTGTGTCCGTTGTGTGTGTCTTGTGTGTGTTCTTTGTGTGTGTCCGTTGTGTGTGTCTGTCCTTCTCTCTGTGTGTGTCTGTCCTTCTCTCTGTGTGTCTTATGTGTGTCTTTGTCATGTTCAGTTTCTCCTTTGATTTTGGCCTAATTTATTTGTAGTTTGACACATTTTTCAGCTAATTAACTTTTCAAACAGTTGTGTGTGTCTCGCTGGTGCCGCAGGAAACATAAAAAAACAGATAAAAGTCAAACTTTTCCAATGAGTAAAAAATGTAACTTTAAAATGGCTTCTTCTTGTTTCTGTTTGAAAAGTTATTTTCCTTTGATCTGTATTTGATCAGGTGGACCCGAGCGGACACGCCCCCTCTGTCCTGTCCAATCACGTGCTTCGACGGGAAAGACGACGTTCCACACGACTTACAAGGTCTTCACTCTCACACGCAGGTCTTCACTCTCACACAGGTCTTCACTCTCACACAGGTCTTCACTCTCACAGGTCTTCACTCACACACAGGGCTTCACTCTCACACAGGTCTTCACTCTCACACAGGTCTTCACTCACACACAGGTCTTCACTCTCACACACATGGCTTCACTCTCACAGGTCTTCACTCTCACAGGTCTTCACTCACACAGGTCTTCACTCTCACACAGGTCTTCACTCTCACACACAGGGCTTCACTCTCACACACAGGTCTTCACTCTCACAGGTCTTCACTCTCACACAGGTCTTCACTCTCACACAGGTCTTCACTCTCACACACAGGTCTTCACTCTCACAGGTCTTCACTCTCACACACAGGGCTTCACTCTCACACACAGGTCTTCACACTCACAGGTCTTCACTCTCACACAGGTCTTCACTCTAACACACAGGGCTTCACTCTCACAGGTCTTCACTCTCACACAGGTCTTCACTCTCACACACAGGGCTTCACTCTCACAGGTCTTCACTCTCACACACAGGTCTTCACTCTCACACACAGGTCTTCACACTCACAGGTCTTCACTCTCACACAGGTCTTCACTCTCACACACAGGTCTTCACTCTCACACACAGGTCTTCACACTCACAGGTCTTCACTCTCACACAGGTCTTCACTCTCACAGGTCTTCACTCTCACACAGGTCTTCACTCTCACACACAGGTCTTCACACTCACAGCTCTTCACTCTCACACAGGTCTTCACACTCACAGCTCTTCACTCTCACACAGGTCTTCACTCTCACAGGTCTTCACTCTCACACACAGGTTGGAGAGACGTAACGACCGGAGACTTCACGGTGCAGATTCTGGGCGGTGGTCATTTCTATCTGAAGGAATCGACCAATCAGAAGACTCTGTTGGACTTTATCACTAAACAGTTGGAAACTTCAGAACTTCACTATTTTTAAATGATTCATTTTTAACAACTTTGTGATTATTAAACCTTTGTTCTTTGTTTTGTTTGTAAATGTATCAGTAACTTTCCTTTGGTCCATGAGTCAGTCTGACCCGGACCAGACCGTGACAGAGGCCGTTTATGGAAGCACCACAGAGGGCGTCCACCGGGGGGCGCCACACCAACGACAAAGATGGAACACTGTGAATATCCTGTTGGTTATTTCTTTATACACAAATAATTCCACGTTTATTAAACTTACTGCAAAGTATTCAGTCATTACTACTACTACATATACTTTATTAAACTTACTGCAAAGTATTCATTCATTACTACTACTACATATACTTTATTAAACTTACTGCAAAGTATTCAGTCATTACTACTACTACATATACTTTATTAAACTTACTGCAAAGTATTCATTCATTACTACTACATATACTTTATTAAACTTACTGCAAAGTATTCATTCATTACTACTACTACATATACTTTATCAAACTTACTGCAAAGTATTCATTCATTACTACTACTACATATACTTTATTAAACTTACTGCAAAGTATTCATTCATTACTACTACTACATATACTTTATTAAACTTACTGCAAAGTATTCAGTCATTACTACTACTACATATACTTTATTAAACTTACTGCAAAGTATTCATTCATTACTACTACTACATATACTTTATTAAACTTACTGCAAAGTATTCATTCATTACTACTACTACATATACTTTATTAAACTTACTGCAAAGTATTCATTCATTACTACTACTACTAACACTTATACTTACTACATATCTTATTAACTTACTGCAAAGTATTCATTCATTACTACTCTACTACATATACTTTATTAAACTTACTGCAAAGTATTCATTCATTACTACTACTACATATACTTTATTAAACTTACTGCAACTGCAAAGTATTCATTCATTACTACTACTACATATACTTTATTAAACTTACTGCAAAGTATTCATTCATTACTACTACTACTACATATACTTTATTAAACTTACTGCAGAGAAACGTTCACTTTTACCGTCTGCAACATTTGCCCAAAATAATAATAATATTATAGTTAATATTAATACTTTTTAGAATATGATAATAGTCTTACTTTCACTGCACACTGTTCACTGTGAGGCCCTCTACAAGTGTTTAAGGGGCCCCTGATGGCCCCTGATGGCCCCTGATGGCCGAGGGCCGGCCCTGGTGTCAATGAAGCCAAAAAACCAAAGGTACCGCTCAGATCTGTTCACAGTAGAACATGTAAAAACAGTAAATACAGTAAACACAGTTTATAGTAGATTATGGTAGTTTATAGATTAGATTATAGTAGTTTATAGTTTATAGTAGGTACAGTAAGTACAGTAAATACAGTAGATTATTATAGTAGATTATAGCAGGTCTTTGCAGGAGACTGAGTAGATCCTGAGAGACCAGCAGTGAATGTGGTCTTCATGGTTCTTTAGTGACACCTGGTGGAGAAAGTAAACAGTGACATTACATTATGACAGCCTCAGTCCTGGGTCTACAGCCTCAGTCCTGGGTCTACAGCCTCAGTCCTGGGTCTACAGCCTCAGTCCGGGTCTACAGCCTCAGTCCTGGGTCTACAGCCTCAGTCCTGGGTCTACAGCCTCAGTCCTGGGTCTACAGCCTCAGTCCTGGGTCTACAGCCTCAGTCCTGGGTCTACAGCCTCAGTCCTGGGTCTACAGCCTCAGTCCTGGGTCTACAGCCTCAGTCCTGGGTCTACAGCCTCAGTCCTGGGTCTACAGCCTCAGTCCTGGGTCTACAGCCTCAGTCCTGGGTCTACAGCCTCATCATCCTGGGTCTACAGCCTCAGTCCTGGGTCTACAGCCTCAGTCCTGGTCTACAGCCTCAGTCCTGGGTCTACAGCCTCAGTCCTGGGTCTACAGCCTCAGTCCTGGGTCTACAGCCTCAGTCCTGGGTCTACAGCCTCAGTCCTGGGTCTACAGTCTCAGTCCTGGGTCTACAGCCTGAAAATAGTCAAAACTCTGACAAACTGAAAGAGAAAACAAAGATAATTTATTTAATGTAGTGCAAATCTAATTTCAGAAATAGAGTTAAATAGAAGAAGAACAACTCCCACCGACACCGAGTCACATTATTTATGTACAACACAAAAAATATTATGTACATTTTCTAGTTCTACAACTTTTCACACAAAGCTGCAAAAAATACATTCAGTTGCAATGATTAGAAGTGACTTATTCAACGTCGAATCAAAAACAGAATATTCAGCTTCAGCTAAAACACCAAAAGTCCTGAGAAATCCTGGTGAGACTCAACGGTCGATTCATTTTCATAAATTAAACTGGACTCACTGAAAGTATCCACAGAAAGGAACAGGTTTCTTTAAATAATTATGTTACTAAACTTTGATTAATGTTCAGCTCATTTGCATATTTAACATACTGAACATACTGAAATTTCTCCACTGTGAGACTAATAAAGGTTTATCTTATCTTATCTTATCTAAAGAAACTTGTAATACAAAAGTGACTGATAGATTATTTCATAAACCAAGCCTTTTAGAAAGATTTGATTATTGTCACCGCTCCCAGACTCTTTCATGATAAATAATGACATCACAATGACATGACAGTTGTTGAACTTTGTTTTTTTGTTGCATTTGGATTGTTCCAGGAATTAACAATAAATCTGACTTTTGACACTTCATGTAGTAAAAAAAAAGCATCAGTTTAGACAGATTTTTTCTACACTGAAAGTCTCTTCACATCTTTATTAATTCACTCCAAACACGGTGGTGATAAACTACTGTAGCCACAGCTGCCCTGGGGCACACTGACAGAAGTGAGGCCGCCAGTCTGTGCCATCGGCCCCTCCCACCACCACCAACCATTCACACACACAGTTACAGCTGCCCTCCACCTCAATGTTAAAACTACAGGGTCTTTGGAAGGTTGTGATGTCACATGATTGCTATACTGGCTGAACAATACATTTAATGTGAGGGTCTAGTGATAGGGCGGAGGCGAGGGCGGAGGGGGCAGGTCCTCACTGCTCCGTGAGGAAGAGGAGGACTGAGGTGTGTCCGCGAGGATGAAGGAGTCTGAGGAGCGGGTGCTGATGCGCAGAGGGGCCAGACGCCGCAGGTTACTGGGCGTCCACGGCAGCCCGGCCTGAGCCCTCTGTGACGGGGCCACTGCGGCTCCCTCCCCCTCAGCCAGCCAGGGCGGGATCTGCACCGGAGCCATGGGGTCCAGGTCGGGCATGAAGGCCGGGTTCTCAATCCCAGCTGCAGACCACAGAGTATGTTGTGATGTCACATGAGTTATGATAATGCAGTGGTTTATACAGCGCTTTTTTAACACTCAAAGAAACTACGACTGTAGCCACAGCTGCCCTGGGGCACAATGACAGTCAGCCCCTCCCACCACCACCAACCATTCACACACACACCAGACTCATTCTAATGTGGGGGAAGTGTCTTGCCTAAGGACACAACCACAGTTTGGCACATTATAGCCGCAGCCGCCCCACTGTGGCACCTGCTGTTTCCAGAGGTCTCCCATCACAGTACTAACCAGGACCTGGCCTGCTTAGTTTCTGACCGGATCTGGCTTTCCCATGCAAGTTTGACCACAAGTCATCACTAGGGTGAGGGGCCCTAAACTTTTCCTCCTGTATCAGCTGGACTTCATTTTATGTTTTCACATAAAATATTGAAAACATTTAACATTATATATTATATATTATATATTAATCTGTATCATATGTTTGTTAGTGATGCATGGACCCCGACCCACAGATTGAAAACCACAGCTCAGAAAAAGGAGTAGAACAGGAAAGAGAAGAAGAACGTAACGGGGTTAAGTTCAGATGTTGTCTGACCTCCGGGTCTGTAGACGCCTCGGGGAAAAGGCCCGGTGTGTCCAGAAGCACTGTCTCCTTCTGAGAACTCGAAGTCTGAAAAACAATCATTTATTTGGACGATGTTTTTACAGCTCCACAAACTCAGGACGTGACATCACTGACCTTCATCTCCAGAATGATACGTTCTTGTTTTGTCACTGGATTTCCCATTCGGCATCTGCAACATCAAATCATCGTTATCACTGAACAGGAGCGGATCTACTGTTAGGCTCGGGGGGGACCTGCCTGGGGCCCCCAGGAGCCCATCCCTCTGAAATAAACATACAATATTATTTATTTGTTTATCTATAAAAATAAACAATAAAACTGCGTTCTCTAAAGTGTCCAGCTCTGTCCTTTTGCCTCGTCTCTCTGCAGCTCTGAGCACCGCTACGACACACAAGCTCCTTATTCTGTAACCATGTGGACTCTGGCCCTCACCATGTGGACCCTCACCATGTGGACTCTGAGCCTCACCATGTGGACCCTCACCATGTGGACTCTGAGCCTCACCATGTGGACCCTCACCATGTGGACTCTGGCCCTCACCATGTGGACCCTCACCATGTGGACTCTGGCCCTCACCATGTGGACCCTCACCATGTGGACTCTGGCCCTCACCATGTGGACCCTCACCATGTGGACTCTGAGCCTCACCATGTGGACCCTCACCATGTGGACTCTGAGCCTCACCATGTGGACTCTGGCCCTCACCATGTGGACCCTCACCATGTGGACTCTGAGCCTCACCATGTGGACCCTCACCATGTGGACTCTGAGCCTCACCATGTGGACCCTCACCATGTGGACTCTGAGCCTCACCATGTGGACTCTGGCCCTCACCATGTGGACTCTGAGCCTCACCATGTGGACTCTGAGCCTCACCATGTGGACTCTGAGCCTCACCATGTGGACCCTCACCATGTGGACTCTGAGCCTCACCATGTGGACTCTGAGCCTCACCATGTGGACCCTCACCATGTGGACTCTGAGCCTCACCATGTGGACCCTCACCATGTGGACTCTGAGCCTCACCATGTGGACAGTCTGTGGGAGCCTCCGTGCGTCTAATCTTTAACATACTCTGAAAACTCTGATAAACTGAATATAGATTTCAAGGCCAATGGTTCTTTAACAACAGCTAAGTCCGCCTCTGTATCTAAACGTGATCTTTGTGGAACTAAACGTGATCTTTGTGGAACTAAACGTGATCTTTGTGGAACTAAACGTGATCTTTGTGGAACTAAACCTGATCTTTGTGGAACTAAACCTGATCTTTGTGGATGAATGGTGCGCTGCGGTTGGACCTGTTTCAGCGCGTCCTTCTTCTGGTGTTTGGAGATGGCCTTTGGAGGCGCCACGCCCATTTTGGCCGATTTGAACGACTCCAAACGGTTTCTCATCGTTCTCTGGAAAATCTCCTGCACCTCGTTCTCGTCCTGGTTCACGTCAAAGTGACTGCGGCTGTATCTGTGACGGTGCTGCAACAAACACACATGCATCAAAACACATGCATCAGAAATACACACATGCATCAGAAATACACACATGCATCAGAAATACACACATGCATCAGAAACACACACACATGCATCAGAATTACACACATGCATCAGAAATACACACATGCATCAGAATTACACACACATGCATCAGAATTACACACACATGCATCAGAATTACACACATGCATCAGAATAACACACAAAGTTATAACTCGCTGTTTTCCAGAGGTCAGGGGTCAGGGGAATCAGGTTTATTTTTTTTGGGACCGAATTTTAAAAAAAGAGCTGGTCTGGGGCCGAGGCTTGGGCCTAATAATAATAATAATAATAATAAATCAGATTTAGCTTTAATAAAGTATTAAATCACACTGAACATGACACATTATTATAAAGGTCAATGCTAAATGTGTTTGAATTATGTTTTTGGGGCGGAGTTTACATATTTTTACTTTATTCCATTTCGAGCTGATAAATTGTAAATAGAGGTTCATTTATAAACACAAGGTGAAACTAGATTATATAGTTATGTTTATATATGTCCATGTAGAAGTATTTAGTGTAAACACAAAGGAAACAGGTATAACAAGTGAACTAAGGAATGTAAATATTGTAAATACTTATGATTGTATAAACATATAATAATAATAATAATAATAATAATAATAATACTGGATCATTGTTACTTGGTCTTTAGAGTGATATTTCCCGCTCCTGCAGGAGGATCAGTGAGGGGCTGGTGTTCTACTGGGTGCAGCTCTGACTGCCACCCCCGACCCAGAGATGGATTAAGGGGAAGACAGTGGATGGAGGATGTCACCTGTTTGCGGCCCTTGTACAGATGCTGCTGCAGTAAGTGGTGAGTGTTGATGTCCTCGGACTCTCGGACCCCGTTCATGGTCTGTTCGTGCATCTCCAAACTTATGGACGGCACGGTCTCCCTCCTAAAAAGACAAGTTTATCACAGTTCAATGTGATGTCAGTTTTATTTAACGTTTTCTACCACATGGTCCTGAAGTACATGTCAGGTTTCAGTTCTTATTGATATTTTATACAAACACAAACAAGGGGAGAGTGACAAGAATATGAATGGATTTTGTCCAATCAGGAAGCTGCGAGAGCGAGAAGGGGCGGGTCAACGCTCTCCTCTTAATGTGAAGGTTCAACATCCAGGTTGTATGGTTCTAACAAAAGACTGTTGTTGATGTAATAACCTTTCCCCTTTGTGTCCTCCTTTTCCAACGTCTACAATGCTCTCATTTTGAAACGATAAAAAGAATATTTACTAAGTCATGTCATGTTTTAGAATGTGGAATAATACGTTAAGTCAAAATATTTGTGTAAGTGTAACTTAGTATGTAACTTAGTATGTAACCTAAATGCATTCCCTGTAACTCCCTGTGCTGCCACCAGAGGGAGGTGTTGAATATTTTGGTTAAAACAATTCAGATCCATGCAAGTGCAAAAACCATCATTTCACTAATTTATGGAAATACTTTAAAAGACAGGAAACTGAGTGAGTAAGAGTACCATGTGTATGGGCAGAGTACCTTGTGTATGGACAGAGTACCGTGTGTATAGACAGAGTACCATGTGTATGGACAGAGTACCGTGTGTATAGACAGAGTACCATGTGTATGGGCAGAGTACCATGTGTATGGACAGAGTACCGTGTGTATAGACAGAGTACCATGTGTATGGACAGAGTACCGTGTGTATAGACAGAGTACCATGTGTATGGACAGAGTACCGTGTGTATAGACAGAGTACCATCTGTATGTTCAGAGTACAGTGTTTATGGACAGAGTACCGTGTGTATGGACAGAGTACCGTGTGTATAGACAGAGTACCATGTGTATGGACAGAGTACCGTGTGTATAGACAGAGTACCATGTGTATGGACAGAGTACCGTGTGTATAGACAGAGTACCATCTGTATGTTCAGACTACAGTGTTTATGGACAGAGTACCGTGTGTATGGGCAGAGTACCATGTGTATGGGCAGAGTACCATGTGTATGGGCAGAGTACCATGTTTATGGGCAGAGTGTGCATGGGCAGAGTACCGTGTGTATCGGCAGAGTGTGAATGGGCAGAGTACCGTGTGTATGGGCAGAGTGTGTATGGGCAGAGTACCGTGTGTATGGGCAGAGTACCGTGTGTATCGGCAGAGTGTGAATGGGCAGAGTGTGAATGGGCAGAGTACCGTGTGTATGGGCAGAGTACCGTGTGTATGGGCAGAGTACCGTGTGTATGGGCAGAGTACCGTGTGTATGGGCAGAGTGTGTATGGGCAGAGTACCGTGTGTATGAGCAGAGTACCATGTGTATGGGCAGAGTGTGTATGGGCAGAGTACCGTGTGTTTGGGCAGAGTACCGTGTGTATGGGCAGAGTACCGTGTGTTTGGGCAGAGTACCGTGTGTATGGGCAGAGTACCGTGTGTATGGGTTGGCGATGGTCGTGTCTTCCATGTCGATGGTGAGGTCCGGCATCGACGTGTCTGAAAAGTCGTCTCCACATTTCTTCTTGAAGTCGATGTAAGCGTTTTCATTTCGGACGAACTCCAGAGTGCCCTTACACTCACCCTGCACGAGGCAAACACGAATATTATGTCATATATAACAGGTTTGGTTCTACACTAGTTTTTACGGATGTTGTATGTATAATTGGCCCCTGACACATGGTATCTTCTTCATACATGAAGACATTATGACCAGTACCTCTGCCACATAATCCAGGGCGTCTTTGAGGTTGAGTTTGTGGAAGACGCTGAAGAGATGATCGTGTTTCTTTCTGGCTGAAGGTTTCATCAGGATCCACGACAGCCATTTGCTCTCAAAATTATTCCACCTGAAATTACAAAGAAATTATAGATTATAGACTATAGATTATAGACTATAAATTATAGACTATAGACTGTATAGCAGTGGGAAGACAGATGCTGACGTCACCTACAGAGTCTGTCGAATGTGGAAGAAGCCAATCTGAACAAACCAAACCTAGCAGACCTCCTCAATCCTGTACCTCCACAGCCTCAGTCCTCGTTCTACAGTCTGAGTCCTAGATCTACAGCCTCAGTCCTCATTGTACAGTCTGAGTCCTGGATCTACAGCCTCAGTCCTCGTTCTATCAATCAATCAATCAAATTTTATTTAAAAAGCGCTTTTCATACAAAAAGTGTAACACAAAGTGCTTTACAGTTTAGTTAAAAACAATCCAACATGCCCAGCCCTAAACCCTCCTCCCCACAGACCCCCCAAAACCACATTTATAATTATATATACAACCACATGCGTATACACACACACACACACACACACACACACACACACACACACACACACACACACACACACACACACACACACACACACACACACACACACACACACACACACACACACACACACACACACACACACACACACACACACACACACACCCACACACACACACACACACACACACACACACACACACACACACACACATACACACACACACACACACACACACACACACACACACACACACACACACACACACACACACACACATATACACAAGTATAAAGTCATATCAGGTAAAATAGGTAAAACAATAAAAAGAAATGGGGCTGGGAGCAGATGTAACCGGCTGAAGAAGCGTCATCCAAGGAGCCGTCTGCACCAGGAGCAGAGAGCCGGCTGCAGCCACAGGCAACGACACAGGACCCAGAGGAGAGAGGGGCCCCAGACCCCACCAGGCCCAGGACTCAGACCCCATAGGACCCAGAGGAGAGAGGAGGCCCCAGACCCCCACCGGATCCAAGAGCCAGTCCCCCGAAGCCACAGCAGACCCCAGCTCTCAGTGCAGAGGGCTCCTCCAGAGGAAACACTGGGGACACTAAAACAATACAATAGAAAGTAGAACAATAAAATGTGAAAATAAAAAGAAAAATGGCAGCTGCCTAATATTGATAATAACAATAGTAAATGGGTAGATACAATAAATAATTAAAAATAGTAAATAATAAAAATAAATAAAAATATAATCCGTCTAAAAACATAAATAGATGTACTAAAAAGCAATAATAGATAATAAATACTAATCAAAAGCTGCTCTAAAAAGGTGCGTCTTGAGCCTACTCATTGTGTCCCACTGACGCACAAATACGTCAAAGCAAATAGTAACGTTGTGTGCCATTGACGCATTAATACGTCAAATGCTTTTTTCGCTATTTTCACCTTCCCAGATGTCTATTGTATCTAATATGTATGGGGATGACTTGAGACCATATTTTATCGAGCCAGCAGGTGGCAGCATTTCTCTCTGAATGGTTTGAAAACATGTAGGTGCACATGTTGTGCCTCTTTTTTCTCAACTTTCTGGTGATTTCTGGTGATTTCAGTAAAACTTCCCTCTACTCGACGGAGGATTACAGGGGAACGAAAAAAGCTATAAACAAAATTCTTTTTGCTGAGGAAAGTAGACAGTCCATTCTTTTAGAATCTGGTGTCGGATTTCAGATCGTCATAGTACACAATATTCTGTGGGTCTTGAAAAATCAGTAAAAATCATCAGAAATGGCTGGCACTGTGGGAGTACCTGTTCTGAAATAGGCTGGCATTCAATGAGTTAAAAATATGAACGTTCTCTGCGGCCCTGAGCTCCTCCGGCAGACTGTTCCAGAGACGGGGGCCGTAGTGCTGCAAAGATGCCTCGCCGTGAGTGTGTGTCCTGACTTTGGGGATGGTTAGGAGTCTGCTGCCGGAGGAGCGCAGGGGCCGGGAAGGTTCATAGGATAAAAGCAAATCTGAAAGATAAGAAGGCCCAAGACCATTAAGACATTTAAAAACCATTAAAAGAACCTTAAAATCGATCCTGAAACACACGGGGAGCCAGTGCAGCGATTTTAAAACCGGTGTAATGTGGTCCCGCCCCCTGGTCTTAGTCAGGACACGCCCCCTGGTCTTAGTCAGGACACGTGCGGCCGAGTTTTGAAGTAATTGTAAACCTGAAATGTTCTTTTTGTGAAGCCCAGAGAGCAGGGCATTACAGTAGTCAATGCGACTGGTGATAAAAGCATCAGCGTCTCCGTGTTGCCCCGAGAGAGAATGGGGCGGACTCTGGCGATGTTCTTTAAATGATAAAAACCTATTTTTGTGATGTTCTTGATGTGTGGAATAAAAGTCAGCTCAGAGTCAAAGATTACGCCCAGGTTTCTCACTTGTGATGATAGATTAAAAGAGTGTGATTGGAGTTTTGATAAAAGTTTCTCTCTCTGGGCCTCAGGACTGATGACTAAAACCTCAGTTTTGTCCTGGTTGAGCTGGAGAAAGTTTTCTGCCATCCAGGATTTCAGGTCTAAAAGGCAGTTAAAAAGAGCATCCATTGGCCTGGTGTCGTCAGGAGACATGGAGATGTACAGCTGTGTATCATCTGCATAACTGTGGAAGTTAATTCCATGTCTCCTGATGACACCGCCAAGAGGGAGCATGTACAGGTTAAAAAGGACTGGACCTAAAATGGAACCCTGGGGCACACCACATGTGATTTTATGGACCTGAGAGGAGCAGGTATCCAAACTTACCATGAAGGATCTGTCTGTTAAATAAGAAGTGAACCATTTGTGGACAGCACCAGAGAGGCCGAGGTGTTGTAGGCGTGATAAAAGAATGGTGTGGTCTACTGTGTCGAAGGCAGCGCTAAGATCCAGTAGAACCAACACGGTCACCTTTTTAGAATCATAATTTAGTCTAAAATCATTTAAAATCTTTAAAAGAGCAGTCTCTGTGCTGTGGTTCACCCTAAAACCTGATTGAAATTTCTCTAAAATTTGCTGCTGATCTAAAAAGGCATTGAGCTGGGTAAAAACAAGTTTTTCTAAAATTTTGCTTAAAAATGGTAAGTTGGATACCGGTCTGTAGTTGTTAAAATCATTAAAATCCAAATTGCTCTTCTTCAGAAGGGGCCTCACCACAGCCGCTTTGAAGGCTGCAGGAAAGACCCCAGTCTGAAGAGAGCAGTTCATCAGGTTTAAAAGCTCCTCTCTAAAAGATTCATAAAATGACTTAAAAAATGGAGTGGGGACTGGATCTAAAAGACATGTGGTGGGCCTCACTGAGGAGAAAACTTTATCAAGCATCTCAGCATCAACCAGGACAAAACTGTCCAGTGTTTCCTCTGGTGAAGACAAACAATCAGATGTGTTAAAAACAGTTGTGCGGTTGGATAAAATGTTACATCTGATTGTATTTATCTTCCCCATGAAGTGGACTGCAAAATCCTCACAGAGGGAGTCTGTGGGGGTTAAAAGAGACATGCTAAAATCAGGGTTTAAAATGGTGTCGATGGTTGAAAAGAGGATTTTTGGATTATTTTTGTTCTGGCTGATTAGTTTTGCAAAGTAATTGTTCCTGTTTTTCCTGATTGTGTTGTTGTAAATTTGCTGTCGGTTTTTATATATTTCGTGATTGATTGTCGTTTTATTTTTTCTCCATCTTCGCTCTGCCACCCTGCACTGTCTTTTCATACTCCTTGCTTCCTCATTTTTCCAAGGGGCTATAGATTTTTGTTGAATGGTTACAATTTTTAATGGAGCAACCTGATCCAGTGTAGTTCTTAGTCTACTGTTAAAATCATCTGCTATAAAATCACAGGGGGCAGGTAAAACCAACTGAGGAGTGTTATTTAGAATGTCCATAAAATTTGCAGCCACTTCAGGGGTTAGACGTCGTTTCTTCACAGTTCTCACAGAGGTCTCCTGTTTAACAAAACCAGTGATTTTAAAAAACACACAATAGTGGTCAGAGATAGCCAGGTCAACAACAGAGGACACACCCGCACTCAGGCCATAAGTAATGACCAGGTCGAGGGTGTGCCCTCTGTTGTGCGTCGGCTGTGTGACATGTTGAGTAAAATCCATGTAATTTAAAATACTTACAAACTCGCAGGTAAAATGGTCTGATGGGTTGTCAAAGTGGATGTTAAAATCACCGGTTAAAACAATCCTATTATAGGAATTGTATAAAAAAGATAAAAACTCTGAAAATTCATTGATAAAACGGCTGCACTTTTTTGGTGGCCGATAGATGGTTACTGCTAAAATTTCGGGGCTGCTAAAAACAAGGGCATGATACTCAAAACTAGAGTATTGGTTAAAATTAATGGTTTTGGTGGCCAGGGTGTTTTTCCAAATTGAGGCTGTGCCACCACCTCTTCTTCCTTCTCTTGTTTTAAAAGCAAAGCTACAGTCTGAGTCCTAGATCTACAGCAGGGGTGCTCACACTTTTTCAGCATGCGAGCTACTTATAAAAGGATCAAGTCAAAATGATCTACCTACTACAAAAATGCAAATCATATATTTATTTAAAAAAATATTCTTTATATCTACAGTGTATGTTTATGTACATGCAAAACAGCATGAGCCAATATAGCACAACACAACACAATTACCTATGTACATTTTTTGTCATTACCCGAGTTTACTCTTATGACTTGCACTGAATTGAATCGGCCAGGGATGCATAGTCCGGAAAATTGGTGGCAACTCGCTGGCAAGTTTGTCGTGGTTTAGCTTTCCTGCACTGAGCGCGGTTGTTTGCGCATGTGCAGTCACCTAAGTGTCAGTAAAACATTACTGAGTAAAACACAGATGTCATTTGACTGTGGTGCCATGTCCATGTGCCATGCCTGTTTTTTTTAAATCCAAATATTTCCCCTCCTCCGTTTATAAAATAATGGGCATCCACACATCTGCGTTATCAGTCACATTCGTAACATTCCAAACATGTGCGTCTCTTACGTCCTGTCCTGCGTTGGGGAAAAACACAGAAGTGGGCGGAGCTTTGATGCAGACGCCGGTAACGGCACTTTTACAGTCATAGAAGACACTCAGAGTAAAGACGTATGTTTACAAGCACTGACCCCGTCCTCAGCCCCTGCTGTTTAGTCCAGTTTTGCTGCTCTCTGATGTGGAGCGAGGATGTTCGCTGCTGCGAGCATCTCACAGCGAACAGTTTTTAAGGTCGTATGATCCATGCTTCAGTGATCAGAGGAATTTAGGGGGGTACTGTGGCGTGCGAGAACGCAAAACTCTGGTTATCTCTGTCTACACACAAATGCATTAACGGAGTTTTCAAAAATCTCCACTTTGCCCGGAGTTTTTTGTATATATTCGTTTAGAATGTGTAATTTTTTATTTATTTATGCGATCTACCAATACTACCTTTGCGATCGACTGGTAGATCGCGATCGACGTATTGAGCACCCCTGATCTACAGCCTCAGTCCTCGTTTTACAGTCTGAGTCCTGGATCTACAGCCTCAGTCCTCATTGTACAGTCTGAGTCCTGGATCTACAGCCTCAGTCCTCGTTCTACAGTCTGAGTCCTAGATCTACAGCCTCAGTCCTCATTGTACAGTCTGAGTCCTGGATCTACAGCCTCAGTCCTCGTTCTACAGTCTGAGTCCTAGATCTACAGCCTCAGTCCTCGTTTTACAGTCTGAGTCCTGGATCTACAGCCTCAGTCCTCGTTCTACAGTCTGAGTCCTAGATCTACAGCCTCAGTCCTCGTTCTACAGTCTGAGTCCTGGATCTACAGCCTCAGTCCTCATTGTACAGTCTGAGTCCTGGATCTACAGCCTCAGTCCTCGTTCTACAGTCTGAGTCCTAGATCTACAGCCTCAGTCCTCGTTGTACAGTCTGAGTCCTGGATCTACAGCCTCAGTCCTCGTTGTACAGTCTGAGTCCTAGATCTACAGCCTCAGTCCTCGTTGTACAGTCTGAGTCCTGGATCTACAGCCTCAGTCCTCGTTGTACAGTCTGAGTCCTGGATCTACAGCCTCAGTCCTCGTTCTACAGTCTGAGTCCTAGATCTACAGCCTCAGTCCTCGTTGTACAGTCTGAGTCCTGGATCTACAGCCTCAGTCCTCGTTGTACAGTCTGAGTCCTGGATCTACAGCCTCAGTCCTCGTTGTACAGTCTGAGTCCTGGATCTACAGCCTCAGTCCTCGTTCTACAGTCTGAGTCCTAGATCTACAGCCTCAGTCCTCGTTGTACAGTCTGAGTCCTGGATCTACAGCCTCAGTCCTCGTTGTACAGTCTGAGTCCTGGATCTACAGCCTCAGTCCTCGTTGTACAGTCTGAGTCCTGGATCTACAGCCTCAGTCCTCGTTCTACAGTCTGAGTCCTGCAGGAGGGTCTAAGTACTCACGGATAATCTTGGATGATCCATGATATTTATATAATTTCATGTATTTACAAAAGAGAACTGGTTTCAGATCAAAGTGACACATACAATAGTGATGCATGTATTTCATGAATTGGCAGAGTATGAAAGTTATGGCCAAAGTATATGTGACTTACTTGTCCCTCATGTAGTTATGTCCAATTTGTCCAGAGATGTCTTCTATGGCCACGAGCATGTGCTCGAACACCTGCAAGGTCCAAACATGAATGAACTCAGTTTCAGAACGGAACAGTCACAGACAAACTTACTTTATTCTGCACTTTTTCTATGACGGTGACTTCAGAATCAGAAGAAGCTCGTTTTACTTTTAGCCACGTGACCAAAGGTTTCATGGTTATTCCCTGGAAACAAGAGATTAGAAGAGATTAGGAGGTAATTCAGTGGTTCCCTTCGTTTTTCCTGTGACCCTCGCCAGCGTCGACAGGGAATAGAACCCTCACATACCCCGGGGGAAACTACTGCCGTCACTGTTATTCCACAATCTCCATCTTTTTCTCTGTGGAGAGTTGTGTATCTCATCTTTTGTGTTTCATTATGTAGGCATTTTGCTTATTATTTGCTTTTATTTAACCTGACCTTTTCCTGAAGTAACAAAACCGATTATTGTTATTATTGGGTTCTGGGTTCAATGTTCAGTCCAGAACGCACTGGACCATCAGCTCCAATCAACACCATCCATTCACTCTCTCATTTACACAGGGAGAACATGCAAACTCCACTCAGAAAGGCCCTGTTCCGACCAGGATTCAAACCCAGGACCTTCTTGCTGAGAAGCGAGAGTGCTAACCACTCAGCCACCGTGCCGCCCATATATAGCTGATTTCTTGTTTCTTTAAAATGATGTATGACTTAACACAACAGCCCTGTATCCCCCCGTGCAGAGAGTCCCCCTGTAATACCCCACGGTCCCACGGGTCCTTGGTCCCACCTGTAAGATGACGGTGAAGTAGACCACGATCAGAGTGGTGCCGATCATCAGGGGTCTCTCTTTGATCTTGTGCTCGTCCAGTATCACAGCAAGTCCGTACGCTACCGCCCCCCGCAGGCCACCGTAGCTCATGATGACGCGGTCGGAGAAATCCAGCGGGACCAGTCTGAACTTGTTCTGGATCCAGGTCAGGAAGAACACACCTGCAGGAAGAGGACGAGGGATGGATATGAGACCGTTTTTTAAATAAAGTTTATATAGTTTTGTTTTAGCTGCGGCTGTAAAGTGCCAAACTGTGGTTGTGTCCTTAGGCAAGACACTTCCCCCACATTAAAATGAGTCTGGTGTGTGTGTGAATGGTTGGTGGTGGTGGGAGGGGCCAATGGCACAGACTGGTTGCCTCGCTTCTGTCAGTGTGCCCCAGGGCAGCTGTGGCTACAGTAGTAGTTTATCTACCTCTATAATCCTACTTCCTGTTTGGGTTTGATGACCTGCCTCATGCGTCTCACCTGTGTCTATTCTAGTCTGGTGTATTTCTTGCGTCTGCTTCACTTCCTGTTCTGTCATTGTCATTCCCACGCCTCTTTTAGTCTTTGCTTTAGTCCCATGTTTGTTTATGTTTTCTACTTTTACTCTTTTACTGAATAATAACCCAAAGGCTGATGTCTGGACTTCCTGATTTTGACCTGTTTTCTTCTTTGTGTTTTACCGATGATTCTGTAGACGAGCACGAAGAGCACAGTGAGGAGGATGAAGCCGGTGTTCCAGACCCAGATGGTTTTGTCGATGGCCGAGATCCCGAGGAAGACGAAGATCATGGTCTCGGAGCCGTTGGCAAAAACCTTCATAACGTACCGCACCGTGGTCACCGACCGCTCGTCCATGTTGGCGTTTATGTACTTCTGACAGCACACGCCGCAGAACGTGATCCTGCACAAACACATTACAGCAGCACTATGTCAAATCATCATTAAAGGGCCCTAATCTGTCATATCGTCATTAAAGGGCCCTAATCTGTCATATCGTCATTAAAGGGCCCTAATCTGTCATATCGTCATTAAAGGGCCCTAATCTGTCATATCGTCATTAAAGGGCCCTAATCTGTCATATCGTCATTAAAGGACCCTAATCTGTCATATCGTTATTAAAGGACCCTAACCTGTCATATCGTCATTAAAGGGCCCTAATCTGTCATATCGTCATTAAAGGACCCTAATCTGTCATCATAAGGCCTATCTGCTTCATTAGGGCCTAATCTGTCATCATTAGGACTAAGTTCTAAGGGCCCTCGTATCATTAAAGGGGCCTAATCTGTCTCATTAGGCTATCTGTCATCATTAAAGGGCCCTAATGTGTCATATCGTCATTAAAGGACCCTAATCTGTCATATCGTCATTAAAGGACCCTAATCTGTCATCATTAAAGGGCCCTAATCTGTCTTCATTAAAGGGCCCTAATCTGTCATCATTAAAGGACCCTAATCTGTCATCATTAAAGGGCCCTAATCTGTCATCATTAAAGGGCCCTAATCTGTCATCATTAAAGGGCCCTAATCTGTCATCATTAAAGGGCCCTAATCTGTCATCATTAAAGGACCCTAATCTGTCATCATTAAAGGACCCTAATCTGTCTTCATTAAAGGGCCCTAATCTGTCATAATTAAAGGACCATAATCTGTCATCATTAAAGGGCCCTAATCTGTCATCATTAAAGGGCCCTAATCTGTCATCATTAAAGGGCCCTAATCTGTCATCATTAAAGGGCCCTAATCTGTCATCACATTGTGTCCCATTGACGCACAAATACGTCAAAGCAAATAGTAACGTTGTGTGCCATTGACGCATTAATGCGTCAAATGCCTTTTTTGCTATTTTCACGTTCCCAGATGTCTATTATATCTAATATGTATGGGGATGACTTGAGACCATATTTTATCAAGCCAGCAGGTGGCAGCATTTCTCTCTGAATGGTTTGAAAACAGTTAGGTGCACATGTTGTGCCTCTTTTTTCTCAACTTTCTGGTGATTTCTGGATATTTCAGTAAAACTTCCCTCTACTCAACGGAGGATTACAGGGGAACGAAAAAAGCTATAAACAAAATTCTTTTTGCTGAGGAAAGTAGACAGTCCATTCTTTTAGAATCTGGTGTCGGATTTCAGATAGTCATAGTACACAATATTCTGTGGGTCTTGAAAAATCAGTAAAAATCATCAGAAATGGCTGGCACTGTGGGAGTACCTGTTCTGAAATAGGCTGGCATTCAATGAGTTAAAGGGCCCTAATCTGTCTTCATTAAAGGACCCTAATCCGTCATCATTAAAGGACCCTAATCTGTCATCATTAAAGGACCCTAATCTGTCATCATTAAAGGACCCTAATCTGTCATCATTAAAGGGCCCTAATCTGTCATCATTAAAGGGCCCTAGTCTGTCATCATTAAAGGGCCCTAATCTGTCCTCATTAAAGGGCCCTAATCTGTCATCATTTAATTAGGACTGATCATCATAATTAAATGTTGATAAAATACCTTCATCAACAGTTTCACAGTAAATGAAAAGACAGGTTCAATACATTTGTTAATAATATCATAGCAGGAGCTTTAAATATTGTTAAATATAATAATAACATATTTTTCTAATAGTCTTGATGCAAAACTTTCCATCTGGAGTCTAAAATGTGATTATGATGTAAATGGTTCTTACGAGAGGATGGCGGACAGCGACAGCATCTCCGCCGTGACGTAGGAAAGATAACCCAAAACGAACACGAACCCGGGTTCAATGATCTGGATGTTTTTAGTGCAGCGAGTCAGAAGAGACAACAGGATCCCGAAAAGCACCCCGACCAGAGAGCCCCCGAACGCCACCACGAAGAAGGAGACTGCACAGAGTCAATCACAACATGTATTTATGTCAGAGACAAACGTGTAAATGTTTTCTCACTGATTCCTTTGATGATCTCCGCAGCGTCAATCGCAGGCCCTCCCAGAGACACGAACGCATCGAACACGTTGAACAGAACCTGGAACAAAGATCGAAGAAGGTTTGGTCTGAATATATTTAAATGAATAATCTGCAGGTGTGGCCTCTCAGAGTATCACAGGCCTCTCTCAGATCTACAGTTCTTCTGTATAGTCTACTATCGTCTGGTGTAATAATCCTCTCCTCACACGCTGCAACACTTTTTGTAGACTCGGTTGTTGATTGTGGCGGTGGAATGTTGACTCCTCTTTAATACACAACAATTTTGGACGTGTCACTCTCTGAGCAGGTTTGAGATGCTCTGGATTCCTGAACATGATAAAGGTCCAGTTCTGTCGATACTTTTAGAAACTTAACACAACCTTTGAAAGGACCAACATTCCACGCACCACAATTAACAACTCTTTACAAATGTAATGTGGAGGAAATGGCTTTTGTGGCGTCAGCCTGAGCTCTGAGACTGACCACAAGAACACCAACTAAACCAATGAAACTAAACCAATGAAACTAAACCAATGAAACTAAACCAATGAAACTAAACCAATGAAACTAAACCAATGAAACTAAACCAATGAAACTAAACCAATGAAACTAAACCAATGAAACTAAACCAACTAAACTAAACCAATGAAACTAAACCAACTAAACTAAACCAATGAAACTAAACCAATGAAACTAAACCAATGAAACTAAACCAATGAAACTAAACCAATGAAACTAAACCAATGGAACTAAACCAAAGAAACTAAACCAACTAAACTAAACCAATGAAACTAAACCAACTAAACTAAACCAATGAAACTAAACCAATGAAACTAAACCAATGAAACTAAACCAATGAAACTAAACCAATGAAACTAAACCAATGAAACTAAACCAATGAAACTAAACCAGTGAAACTAAACCAATGAAACTAAACCAATGAAACTAAACCAATGAAACTAAACCAATGAAACTAAACCAATGAAACTAAACCAATGAAACTAAACCAATGAAACTAAACCAAAGAAACTAAACCAACTAAACTAAACCAATGAAACTAAACCAACTAAACTAAACCAATGAAACTAAACCAATGAAACTAAACCAGTGAAACTAAACCAATGAAACTAAACCAATGAAACTAAACCAAACTAAACCAAAAACTAACAATGAAACTAAACCAATGAAACTAAACAATGAAACTAACATGAAACTAAACCAATGAAACTAAACCAATGAAACTAAACCAATGAAACTAAACCAACTAAACTAAACCAATGAAACTAAACATGAAAAACATGAACTAAACATAAACAACAATGAAACTAAACCAATGAAACTAAACCAATGAAACTAAACCAATGAAACTAAACCAGTGAAACTAAACCAATGAAACTAAACCAATGAAACTAAACCAATGAAACTAAACCAATGAAACTAAACCAATGAAACTAAACCAAATAAACTAAACCAACTAAACTAAACCAATGAAACTAAACCAACTAAACTAAACCAATGAAACTAAACCAATGAAACTAAACCAATGAAACTAAACCAACTAAACTAAACCAATGAAACTAAACCAACTAAACTAAACCAATGAAACTAAACCAATGAAACTAAACCAATGAAACTAAACCAATGAAACTAAACCAAAGAAACTAAACCAACTAAACTAAACCAATGAAACTAAACCAATGAAACTAAACCAATGAAACTAAACCAATGAAACTAAACCAGTGAAACTAAACCAATGAAACTAAACCAATGAAACTAAACCAATGAAACTAAACCAATGAAACTAAACCAATGAAACTAAACCAACTAAACTAAACCAATGAAACTAAACCAATGAAACTAAACCAATGAAACTAAACCAATGAAACTAAACCAACTAAACTAAACCAATGAAACTAAACCAATGAAACTAAACCAATGAAACTAAACCAATGAAACTAAACCAATGAAACTAAACCAATGAAACTAAACCAGTGAAACTAAACCAATGAAACTAAACCAATGAAACTAAACCAATGAAACTAAACCAATGAAACTAAACCAATGAAACTAAACCAAAGAAACTAAACCAATGAAACTAAACCAACTAAACTAAACCAATGAAACTAAACCAATGAAACTAAACCAATGAAACTAAACCAATGAAACTAAACCAACTAAACTAAACCAATGAAACTAAACCAACTAAACTAAACCAATGAAACTAAACCAATGAAACTAAACCAATGAAACTAAACCAATGAAACTAAACCAATGAAACTAAACCAATGAAACTAAACCAATGAAACTAAACCAACTAAACTAAACTAATGAAACTAAACCAATGAAACTAAACCAATGAAACTAAACCAAAGAAACTAAACCAACTAAACTAAACCAATGAAACTAAACCAACTAAACTAAACCAATGAAACTAAACCAATGAAACTAAACCAATTAAACTAAACCAATGAAACTAAACCAATGAAACTAAACCAATGAAACTAAACCAATGAAACTAAACCAAAGAAACTAAACCAACTAAACTAAACCAATGAAACTAAACCAACTAAACTAAACCAATGAAACTAAACCAATGAAACTAAACCAATGAAACTAAACCAATGAAACTAAACCAATGAAACTAAACCAACTAAACTAAACCAATGAAACTAAACCAACTAAACTAAACCAATGAAACTAAACCAATGAAACTAAACCAATGAAACTAAACCAATGAAACTAAACCAACTAAACTAAACCAATGAAACTAAACCAACTAAACTAAACCAATGAAACTAAACCAATGAAACTAAACCAATGAAACTAAACCAATGAAACTAAACCAGTGAAACTAAACCAATGAAACTAAACCAATGAAACTAAACCAATGAAACTAAACCAATGAAACTAAACCAACTAAACTAAACCAATGAAACTAAACCAATGAAACTAAACCAATGAAACTAAACCAATGAAACTAAACCAATGAAACTAAACCAACTAAACTAAACCAATGAAACTAAACCAATGAAACTAAACCAATGAAACTAAACCAATGAAACTAAACCAATGAAACTAAACCAATGAAACTAAACCAGTGAAACTAAACCAATGAAACTAAACCAATGAAACTAAACCAATGAAACTAAACCAATGAAACTAAACCAATGAAACTAAACCAATGAAACTAAACCAAAGAAACTAAACCAATGAAACTAAACCAATGAAATTAAACCAATGAAACTAAACCAATGAAACTAAACCAATGAAACTAAACCAATGAAACTAAACCAACTAAACTAAACTAATGAAACTAAACCAATGAAACTAAACCAATGAAACTAAACCAAAGAAACTAAACCAACTAAACTAAACCAATGAAACTAAACCAATGAAACTAAACCAATTAAACTAAACCAATTAAACTAAACCAATGAAACTAAACCAATGAAACTAAACCAAAGTAAGTAGAGACGAACCACAGTGACTCCGTCGTTGAGCAGAGATTCTCCGAACACCATAATGAACAGAACTTCATTCACATGGACTTGTTCAAACACCGCGATCACAGCCACAGGGTCCACGGCCGACATCAGGCTCCCGAACAGAAGGTACTGCAGCAGCCCGATGTCCAGGTCCCCTGAGGCAGAAGCATCAGACACTTCAGGCTCTGAGAAGGTAAACTGAGATGGTTTTGTTTACGCCGATATTAATCACGGTCTGCGGTCTCCACCAAACTAACCGCTGTTCACACGTTGGTCATCCATGTTTCACTAGTGCTTTGTAATAAGGGTCAATATTTCTTACAATAAAACATAAGAACATTTATAAGTTTACAACAACTCACTGTCTTTGTGCTGAAACAAACTCAGTAGTTTAGTCTTGGTAGATTAGTATTGTCAGTGTTGGTATATCTTGGTCATAATCCACTTAAATAAAAGGACACTAATCACCTGTTTCCTGGAAGACTACTTTTTAGATATATCTGACTTTTGAAACAAGTTTGAAAAGAACATAATATTCAAAATGGCGACACCCATTTTGTTCACTTTTACTGCAAATTAATGTTGGCCTTTCACTATCGGTGATCGACCTCCTTGAGGACGATTTTGGCCCTGAAAAATCCTGTCGGTTGGAGGTAAAGGTGCACTTCATGAATCCCCATCGGGAAATCCATCCTCTGCATTTGACCCTGATGCCGCTGAAGCTTATCTTTGTAAAAATAGTCAATAAACTAACAAACAAACATCTCTGTGCTCTTAGGTGCATCTGCTGTCCCTGTCTCAGTAGGATCCAGTACAAAGGCTCTCACCCATGGCCCCTCCCATGTGGCAGCCCCACAGCGACAGCCCCACGGTGGCGGCGTTCCAGCACGTCCCGATGACGGCGTGGATCAGGATCCCGCCCAGGTTACTGAAGAACAGCTTGTTGGGCATGAAGTACCCCGCCTCCAGGATGATTTGGGGCAGGAGGTAGAAGAAGAAGACCGTGGGCGTCAGGCTGAAGGTCTGGACTCGGTCTGCGCCCCAAATGATGCCGCCCAGAACGAAGCCGAAGCAGATGAGCAACGCACTCTCTGGGATCACCGCGGTCACGTGGTGGTTCGCCTCAATCACTGCACACAACAACAACACATTCCATTGTGTCATCAAAAGGTTTTTTATCTAATTACAAAAGGGCTGTAACAAGTTCACTCATTCATCATTTAATAAACTATATCTTTTTAAAATCTTACACAGAATAAAACATGATCTTTTGTGACTGTTTCTATGTTTAATATTTTTATTACATTTTGTATAGCTGTAAATCACAACAGCAGTCGTTCAGAGGATTTTTACAAAGTTGTAGATTCCTCACCAACAGATCAGAAAATCAAACCGTTTAACACAGGAAGTGCAACAACAACACATTTCATGTCCTTTATTGTTCTTAAATGTTCGAAAATGTTCGAAAATGTTCTTAAATGTTCTTAAATGTGATTAACCTCTGTCCTCAGACCCTTCAGAGTCCTGCATCAGAACAACTCAAAGACCCATTGGGAGAAGAGACCCCCCAGGGAGACTGAACCAAGCACCATTAATATCTGATCACAGACTTTATAATCACAAAGTTAAACCACACAATCTCTGCTCTTTCATTATTATTATGTATTAAATAACACAAACACCAGGAGCCAGAGCCTTTTGTCTGATTCCCTTGTGTTGAATACGAGTTACTGGAGATAAGAAAAGAATGTCTTTTATTTCTGAAACGCTGATAAGACACATTTGTAACTTCTGCAGCACATCACAGAAAAGTTCTCATGGAAACTACAGCAAAACAAAACCCAGGAGTTTAGTTGGACGCACAGGACGTGAAAGGAACTGACTTTTACACTTTTCATCTGAGTTTCTTTTGTCATCAATGTGTTTTGTAAAACTCAACTTTCAGATCAGAGTTTAAAGAGTTCTAACCTTCTGCACAACAATCTTTATGGAAGAAATTATGATTCATTTTCAGACTCACTTCAGACGTTCACATAACTCAAAACTGCACTGTTAATTTTTAGATTTTCATTTTGTTTCTTATTTGTTCTTTTAAAAGCGTCCTTGTGTGTCCAAAAAATGCTGTTTAAACATGATGTATTATTATTATTATTATTATGATCATTAGTAAGAATAATAATTATAGATTCAATGCAGAAAGGTTTTCTCACTAAATACGTCGTCAGTCAATTATGATTCATTAAGATTCTTGTTTGTTCCATTCACGAATCCTCAAAATAAACTGAAGTCAACTACATTTACTTCCTTTTTGTTTAATAACAGTCTTTGTGACAAACGAAACGATACATGTGCAGCTGAAGGGACTGAAACCAATGACCTGCTGTGTGTGAGAATCTAAAAACTTAAACAAGCTTTACTGGACCTCCCTCTGAGCCCTGACATTTACATACCCAGTTTGCCGACGCCCGCCACCAGTACCCACAATGCCACAGTGTAGGGCCCCTCCACATGGTGCCACTTGAAGGTGACGATGGGGATCCCCGAGAGGTCGGAGGCATTTCTCTGCTCTCCGCTGTGGGTCTGACCCGGTTCAGCTCCAAACACCAACAACGAGCAGAAGAACGTCCCGAGAAGCCAAGTTTTCACACGTCCACAGCGACGCATTGGACCCCGAGCAACAGCAGCAGAAAGTGTCTCTTTGTAAAGCTACTTCTGAATTAGGACAAGGTCAACGGGAAAATAAACAACTGGTGTAAAGTGTAGCGTCTGCGGCGAGATCCTGGACTTTTATAACACGCTCAGACTAAAGTGTTACTTTGACAGTTTATGTTTAAGAACTGAGTCTGAGAAAAGTTATTCAGTCACTGTTTGTTCAGCGACCGACGAGTTGAAATGGTTGATGTTTAAAGAGGAGCAGAGTTCAAGCGTCTTTTCTTTAGTTCATGTTTATATTGAAACTAGGGCTGTCAAAATTATCGCGTTAACGCACGTTAATTAATTTTTTCATTAATCGCGCTAAAAAAATGAACGCATTTGACGCATGCCCATGCGTCCCATAATAACACTCAGAATGCCGCGGACACATGCGTGTGTAAGACGGGGACAGAGCAGGTCTCTGGGAGTGACCGCGGGGCACTTGTTGTTTCCTGTATGAACTCTGCATGATGAGCTGCGGGCGCCACAGCGCTCTGGACCGTTCCCACTTCCAGCGGCTGTGATGACGGCGAACGGCGCTGCGTAATGGGATCATATCCAAGACCACGCACAGAACTATTACAGAACTATTCTCTAGTGTGCGTACGTGTCTTTTCCCTTCGACCATCAGTTCATGTTAGTTGTGCCAAAAAAGTAATGTTGTGAGCAAATCAAACAGATTTAATGACATTCTGCTTCAGACTGTTTTGAAATGTCCCTCATCTGTAACAAACAATGGGTTTGGTCTGAGTCTAAACAGAAAGACAGAATGTTAATAATGTTAATTCCATTTTATATGGATTTGTTATATTTGTTTATATTTGTTATAACAAACAAATACAGTTCATATGTTCACTAAGCTGTCATTTATCTTTCCATTCAAACAACCATTTACAGAAAAATATGGCATAATTTTGCCAATATTTGAAATGCGATTAATTACGATTAATTAATTTTTATGCTGTAATTAACTCGATTAAAAAAATTAATCGTTTGACAGCCCTAATTTAAAGTTATTGATATTTATTTATATAGAGAGGGCTTTAAAATCATAGTCCAACATTTAGAATATTTATGTAAAAAAGTTGGTTTGTGGACCGTGAACATTCTTTAAAACTTAATGTCCATTATTAGCAGTTATGGTCCTGCTCCCGATGGTGACGATTCAACAACAGAAAAGTCTATAAATGAAAGTAACTGAGTTGAGCACATAGACATGACTGTTCTGTTTACAGCGGTTTGAGACTTTAGAATGGATCATCACAAAGACAACACTGGGACAGAAAGTGTCAGAAAAGAGGATGTTTAACTGTGAAGGAGAACATGCAAATCCGGCCGATCTATTGTTCAGCATCAGTTGAAACACAAATACTTCACAAAACATTAGAGAAACACGTTCATCAAAAACCAACGCACTTTTCAAATCACGGTTGTAATCACACAGGGACAAAAGTCAAATATATAGAAACTGTAGAAAAGTTTAAAGCCTATTTTTCAGACCACATGAACGTGATAAAAACTAGTTCTTCAGGATCATGTTTTATAACTTTAACTAGAGCACTTTTATAAAACATGTTTCCAAAGTGCAGCACAGACAAAAGCAACAGAGTAAAATATACACGTCTGCTTTAAATACAGACAATTATAATAAAGAATTGTGTTGTATTGTGCGACAGTGGCTCAGTTGGTAGAGCATTGAGCCTGAAGGTCGTGGGTTCGAGCCCACCAAGAGACCTTCTCCACCGACTCTCACTGATGTCTGCTGTTGCTGTGTCCTTGGGCAAGACATTTAACCTCTGGGAACAGCAGGTGCCACAGTGGAGCGGCTGTGGCTGTAAAGTGCCAAACTGTGGTCCTTAGGCAAGACACTTCTCCCACATTAGAAAGAGTCTGGTGTGTGTGTGAGTGGTTGGTGGTGGTGGGAGGGGCTTCTGTCAGTGTGCCCCAGGGCAGCTGTGGCTACAGTGGTTTATCACCACCGTGTTTGGAGAGAGAGAAGAATGATGTGAAGCGTTTCTGAGTGTCCAGAAAAGCGTTGAAGAAAACCGATGCTTTATTATTATTATTAAAGCCGGCTGCTTTTTGAGAAGACGTGGGACGTCTGTGTTTCTTCTGCTGCCCTACAGACCCTCCGGCAAGCCAAGTGGAACACTCCGGACCTGCTCCCTCTGACTGAGGACGTTAGAGCCATGCATGCACATATTGAGGTATGTCGACCTGAATATGTGCAAACCCTAATAAGTGAGCCAACGTCTAAGCATTGGTCTAAACTGGCAGTTTTGACTCTTTGTGAGGTCATTATTTTCAATCGAAGAAGGGAAGGTGAGGTTTCAAAGATGCCACTGACAGAATTTACCTTAAGAAGTAAGACTGGGATCCATTCTGACATTGCTCTGGGACTGTCCCAACTTGAGAAAAAGCTGTGTCAGCATTTTCAACGCATTGAAATTAAAGGGAAAAGAAGTGGGAAAGTGGTGGTTCTTTTGACTCCTGAAATGATTGCTTCGATGGAGGTGCTGGTGGAGAACAGAAGGGCCTGTTCCATCTCTGACCATAACCCATACTTCTTTTCCCGCCCGGGCGCAGACACCCACATCAGGGGATCAGACTCCCTACGGCAGGTAGCCAAAGAATGTGGTGCGGTGCATCCAGAGATGCTATCCTCAACCAAACTTAGAAAGCACATAGCTACTATGTCTACAGTTCTCAATATGAAAGTAGGGCTGTCAAAATTATCGCGTTAATTCACGTTAATTACCGTTTTCATTAACGCGTAAGAAAATAATTAACTGCCGCATTAACTGCCATTGACGTGTTAACACGTCAATTGCGTTTCCCGCTATTTTCACGTTCCCAGATGTCTATTGTATCAAATATGTAAGGCTTGAGGCAATATTTTATCAAGCCAGCAGATGGCAGCATTGCTCTATGAATGGTTTGGAAACATGTGCCTCTTTTCTCTCAGCTTTCTGGTGATTTCAATAAAACTTACCTCTACTCGACTGGGGATTACAGGGGAACGAAACAAGCTAGAAACAAAATTATTTTTGCTGATGAACGTAGACAGTCCATTCTTTCAGAATATGGTTTTGGATTTCAGATAGTCATAGTACACAATATTCTGTGGGTACCTGTTCTGAAATAGGCTGGCAGTCAATCGCATGTCCGAATGACCCGCCCATTTTAATATCACTCAGAATGCCACGGACACGTGCGTGTGTGTGATGGTGACAGCGGTAACGTGGTCATATAATACACACATATATACACGCACAGGGGCCATTCTCTGATGTTGTGTGACACACGGAGGAGACACGCTGAAATGCAACCAAACTCGCAAAATTAAAGCTGGGGTACCTACATTTTCCCTTTCATTAACAGCTCTTGTTGGTTGTACCCAAAAGTAGAAGGTTGTGAGCAAGTCAAACAGATTTAAGTACATTTGGTATGAATAATAATGTGTCATTATATTTGAAAATCTCATTTAACTTCAATTGGAGTGGATTTGAAATAGAATGTTAAAAATGCGATTAATCGTGAGTTAACTCACCATTACTATGCGATTAATCATAAAAAAATTAATCGTTTGACAGCCCTATATGAAAGAGAATGAAATGGACATACTAGCCAACTTCCTCGGCCATGACATTCGCATCCACAGGAAATATTACAGACTACCAGAGGGGACACTGGAGCTGGCCAAAATCAGCAAAGTGTTGATGGCCATGGAGCAGGGAAGAGTGACGGAATTCGAAGGAAAGAGCCTCGACCAGATACAAATTGAGCCTGAAGGTAATTCTTGATATTATTAAAATATGTATAATTTTTTTCCCCTAAAGGCCACTTGTATTTTTATTTTCTGTGCAACAGGGAGAGCAGTAGAGATCCTCTCACAAACGGACGGGCTAAAAGAAACTTCAAGCGGAGAACCTTCAACCATTCATCCAGATGCACCCCATGGTAGTGGCAGTGCCCCTTCTGGTAAGTGTACCAGGTGGGGGATTACAGCCAGGCTGCTTGGTCCTCACCCTGGGAGTGTATATTGCTAATATATTTTTATTTCTCTCCCTAGAACGTGTAAGAAAGCCATGGTCTGCATCTGAGGTGAAGGCTGTGGAGAAGACCATGACACCTTTCATACAGACTGGAAAGGTCCCTGGGAAGTCTCACTGCCTGGCCTGCATTAATGCCTCACCAGATGACCTTAGACATCGGACATGGAGTGGCATTAAATTCTATGTCAAAAATAGAATCACTGCAATTCGAAAAAAAAATCTAAAATAAAATTCCTTTAAAAGAGTTGTATGTTTTCTATTGACTGTTTTGTATTACTTAAAGTAGTTCCAGTAAAAAAGATTATGTCTATGGGTCCCATTCTGAACGGCCTTGTCAAAGGGACCCACCAGGTAACAAAAACGTGTATGTGTGTGTCTCTAAATGTGTGTGTGTCTCTGGATGTGTGTGTGTCTCTCTGTGTGTGTGTCTCTGGATGTGTGTGTGTCTCTCTGTGTGTGTGTCTCTCTGTGTGTGTGTCTCTGGATGTGTGTGTCTCTCTGCACTTGTTTTCAACTCCTAGTGGGTTCCATAACCTGAGATTCCACTCACGTCATGGGGACTGGTTTTACGTGGTGGGGCCCGAACACCGGACCCCACTGGTCCAAGCTTAATAATCAATGGGTAATGCTTTTCTAACGGTCCTTATGCAGTCTCTGTAAAAATATGGAAAGGACCCCTGGAGGTTTACTTTCCTGAAAAAAGTGTGTTATGTGTCGGAACCCTGGTGGTGGGTTGCGGGATATCAGGGAGGGGCACACTGGGGCAATTTCAGTCCAGCAGGCTGGAGCCAATCATGGAGCAGCACAACAGAGGAAATCAGGTGTCAGGCTAGAAAAAGGTGCAAGTGTGTGGTTCATTAGGCTGCAAGAAATCATGGAGGAGCACACTGAAGCGCACGCTTACAAACCACTGGT